CAGTTACAGCATCAAGAGTCTGCTAATTTGCATATAATTTGCATATGATTGCAAATTTTCGGAAATGCCTGATTTTCCAGAAATCTCTTGGGGGCGAATGAGTTAAACTAAAAATATTTTTTTCCCGATTTTCAACCTCTAAAGAGTGTTTTGGTCAGTTTTACACCCCAAAACGACCCTCAAACCCAACAGAAGTCAAATTTAAAAATTTTGATCAAATCGTTTAACCCTTTAGCCCCCAATCCCGCCTGTAGGCGTGATGGCGACAACCATTCTTTGATGGCCCGTATGACCCTCCATACCTTTTTTGAACTGCCCCAGCTGAACTGTCATGATAGCAGGGACTTCAACCAAGCAGTTCATGGTCCATAAACTCTTCTCAGATGTCTGTTCATGAAAATATGGCACTTTGAAAGCCGTTTAAGAGTTCAAAATCGGAAAAACGTGAAAAGTAGCCAAAATCAGGTGGGGGTGGGCATCTTTTGATGGCCACTACGTAACTCGTAGTGACTGTAGGTATAAACTATTATCATAAATGCATGCATAGGTGGTAAAGGAACACAACGAGGTATAATATGGCCAATAGGAATCTAGTCTGTAAAATTTAGGTCACCGTTTTGTCAAAAATCCGTAAAAACGGACATTTAGGCAGACCTGACTTGACAATAATAATTCCCCAGCAAGACACTTAAGTCCAATATACTCCCAGTTAGCATGAATGGACTGCTGTAACTATAGGGTAATACTTGAATGACAAAGAAAAACAGTCTGGTCAATGTTCACCTCTCAAGGTCGTTTTAAAATCGGAAAATAGACGGAAAATTAACATTTTTCAGTGGGGGTGGGTTCAAACCCACGAGAAAATATTCCACCTCCCACCCCACCCCCCACCCATGCCATCCGCCCCCAAATCTCAATACATAGTTTAATAGATGAGCATCAGTTACAGCATCAAGAGTCTGCTAATTTGCATATAATTTGCATATGATTGCAAATTTTCGGAAATGCCTGATTTTCCAGAAATCTCTTGGGGGCGAATGAGTTAAACTAAAAATATTTTTTTCCCGATTTTCAACCTCTAAAGAGTGTTTTGGTCAGTTTTACACCCCAAAACGACCCTCAAACCCAACAGAAGTCAAATTTAAAAATTTTGATCAAATCGTTTAACCCTTTAGCCCCCAATCCCGCCTGTAGGCGTGATGGCGACAACCATTCTTTGATGGCCCGTATGACCCTCCATACCTTTTTTGAACTGCCCCAGCTGAACTGTCATGATAGCAGGGACTTCAACCAAGCAGTTCATGGTCCATAAACTCTTCTCAGATGTCTGTTCATGAAAATATGGCACTTTGAAAGCCGTTTAAGAGTTCAAAATCGGAAAAACGTGAAAAGTAGCCAAAATCAGGTGGGGGTGGGCATCTTTTGATGGCCACTACGTAACTCGTAGTGACTGTAGGTATAAACTATTATCATAAATGCATGCATAGGTGGTAAAGGAACACAACGAGGTATAATATGGCCAATAGGAATCTAGTCTGTAAAATTTAGGTCACCGTTTTGTCAAAAATCCGTAAAAACGGACATTTAGGCAGACCTGACTTGACAATAATAATTCCCCAGCAAGACACTTAAGTCCAATATACTCCCAGTTAGCATGAATGGACTGCTGTAACTATAGGGTAATACTTGAATGACAAAGAAAAACAGTCTGGTCAATGTTCACCTCTCAAGGTCGTTTTAAAATCGGAAAATAGACGGAAAATTAACATTTTTCAGTGGGGGTGGGTTCAAACCCACGAGAAAATATTCCACCTCCCACCCCACCCCCCACCCATGCCATCCGCCCCCAAATCTCAATACATAGTTTAATAGATGAGCATCAGTTACAGCATCAAGAGTCTGCTAATTTGCATATAATTTGCATATGATTGCAAATTTTCGGAAATGCCTGATTTTCCAGAAATCTCTTGGGGGCGAATGAGTTAAACTAAAAATATTTTTTTCCCGATTTTCAACCTCTAAAGAGTGTTTTGGTCAGTTTTACACCCCAAAACGACCCTCAAACCCAACAGAAGTCAAATTTAAAAATTTTGATCAAATCGTTTAACCCTTTAGCCCCCAATCCCGCCTGTAGGCGTGATGGCGACAACCATTCTTTGATGGCCCGTATGACCCTCCATACCTTTTTTGAACTGCCCCAGCTGAACTGTCATGATAGCAGGGACTTCAACCAAGCAGTTCATGGTCCATAAACTCTTCTCAGATGTCTGTTCATGAAAATATGGCACTTTGAAAGCCGTTTAAGAGTTCAAAATCGGAAAAACGTGAAAAGTAGCCAAAATCAGGTGGGGGTGGGCATCTTTTGATGGCCACTACGTAACTCGTAGTGACTGTAGGTATAAACTATTATCATAAATGCATGCATAGGTGGTAAAGGAACACAACGAGGTATAATATGGCCAATAGGAATCTAGTCTGTAAAATTTAGGTCACCGTTTTGTCAAAAATCCGTAAAAACGGACATTTAGGCAGACCTGACTTGACAATAATAATTCCCCAGCAAGACACTTAAGTCCAATATACTCCCAGTTAGCATGAATGGACTGCTGTAACTATAGGGTAATACTTGAATGACAAAGAAAAACAGTCTGGTCAATGTTCACCTCTCAAGGTCGTTTTAAAATCGGAAAATAGACGGAAAATTAACATTTTTCAGTGGGGGTGGGTTCAAACCCACGAGAAAATATTCCACCTCCCACCCCACCCCCCACCCATGCCATCCGCCCCCAAATCTCAATACATAGTTTAATAGATGAGCATCAGTTACAGCATCAAGAGTCTGCTAATTTGCATATAATTTGCATATGATTGCAAATTTTCGGAAATGCCTGATTTTCCAGAAATCTCTTGGGGGCGAATGAGTTAAACTAAAAATATTTTTTTCCCGATTTTCAACCTCTAAAGAGTGTTTTGGTCAGTTTTACACCCCAAAACGACCCTCAAACCCAACAGAAGTCAAATTTAAAAATTTTGATCAAATCGTTTAACCCTTTAGCCCCCAATCCCGCCTGTAGGCGTGATGGCGACAACCATTCTTTGATGGCCCGTATGACCCTCCATACCTTTTTTGAACTGCCCCAGCTGAACTGTCATGATAGCAGGGACTTCAACCAAGCAGTTCATGGTCCATAAACTCTTCTCAGATGTCTGTTCATGAAAATATGGCACTTTGAAAGCCGTTTAAGAGTTCAAAATCGGAAAAACGTGAAAAGTAGCCAAAATCAGGTGGGGGTGGGCATCTTTTGATGGCCACTACGTAACTCGTAGTGACTGTAGGTATAAACTATTATCATAAATGCATGCATAGGTGGTAAAGGAACACAACGAGGTATAATATGGCCAATAGGAATCTAGTCTGTAAAATTTAGGTCACCGTTTTGTCAAAAATCCGTAAAAACGGACATTTAGGCAGACCTGACTTGACAATAATAATTCCCCAGCAAGACACTTAAGTCCAATATACTCCCAGTTAGCATGAATGGACTGCTGTAACTATAGGGTAATACTTGAATGACAAAGAAAAACAGTCTGGTCAATGTTCACCTCTCAAGGTCGTTTTAAAATCGGAAAATAGACGGAAAATTAACATTTTTCAGTGGGGGTGGGTTCAAACCCACGAGAAAATATTCCACCTCCCACCCCACCCCCCACCCATGCCATCCGCCCCCAAATCTCAATACATAGTTTAATAGATGAGCATCAGTTACAGCATCAAGAGTCTGCTAATTTGCATATAATTTGCATATGATTGCAAATTTTCGGAAATGCCTGATTTTCCAGAAATCTCTTGGGGGCGAATGAGTTAAGGTGGTACCCAACACCTTGAATAATATTAATTTGGCTCGTTTAATTTTCATAAAATTTTGACAAAATGTTTACTTTGACCCTTTGACAAAAATATAAAAATTTTAAAAAATTTGAACCAACCACTTTATCAGAAAAATTTCATTGGTTATATAGCAGTTTGACAAACACTAATTTTGATCATTGAGAAGCTTAATATTTCCTTTACAATACAACGTTATTAAAACGTTTAGCTGATTTTTACAGAGTTATCCCCCTGTAGTGTTAGGTACCACCTTAATATAATACTGAAGAAATGTACCTGAATTTAATACTTGAAACAGCTGGATATTGATTTTAACCTATCAAAACTTACCAATACAAAATACTTTAAAAGGTACATAACATAAACTATTAGGATGTTGGTTTATGACTGCCTTAACTAATTGTTTTGGTTATCGTAGTACAAATCAACCCATTGATTTTTCTTTTGAGTTGATTTACATTTTGTCATCTAAGAAATTTTAATACTATACAGTTTGGGTAATGCTCATTGTAGAAGGCTGTACAGTGACCTCTAATGTCCACTCTTTGTACTTCTGTCTTTATGAATCATTGTTTCTCACTCAAGGGTGACTGGGGAATAGAAATATGGTCACTCGGGTCTTCTTCCAAATAGCAATAAAACCCTTGCCAAAAAGGGCATCAGTTCGGGTGTGTGGGATATACAATTTCGCAGCCAGGTCGTCAGAATGGGGATGTTAAATCTGATGCCTCAAGTTAAGAAAGTGCCATGGTTTTTGCAGGTTAAGAACCCTTTCAACAATTCTTTGAAGGGTCTGTAGGAGGCCTCTTGCAAGGTGAAATTTCTGTCCTTATCCAAGATACCCTCATTTTCCAGTGGCAGTCCAAATTTCCTAGACCTTCATCCCGGACAGCCTCTACTACAGGATCTACCTATTGAATTTATTGTTAATTTGTTTCTCTTCTTGAACATGCATGAAATATTTGCCACTGGACATTAAACAACCATCAATCAATCAATCAATAGTTGTTTCTTGACAATCATTTTATATCTCCTTATTTTTATTTTCTTATATGATTCAAATCTATTGCTTTAGTTATTAGAATATTGATAAAATATTTGAGAAACTTACCTGAACATAATACTGAAGATCTATGGCTTTAACTGTAGGGTGTTGATATAACATTTTGGACACTAGCATATGGTACCAGGTCCCACAGATATCCTGTAATTCTGTAAAAACTGCTTCTTCACCAGCCAAAATCTGCATTATATATATATTAGTTATATTTCAAAAAAACAAAAGAGTTACAGTTAGCTGCAAACTATTGTAAAATTTCATAGCAATCACAGTATAATGACGGAGAACTTGTGCTTAATACAAGAAACGGTCAATGGACAGACAGACTGACAAAGGAAAAACTTAAAGGCACCCAAATATTCAATGTGAGGCCCTTTTAACATGGGCCTGAAACTGGAAGTTGCCTTTCCATGGCCCTCATTTCATTTACACACTGAAGCAGTTACATTCAAAATTTCTACTACAACATTTCTGAACAATTGTTTGCTGTCTAGTTGTGTGGGTGTTAAATAAATAAGAATAAGTCAAGTTTTTTTTTGTTCAATAAATCCTTACAGAAGATATAAAACAAAGAGTTATATACATCACATATTATATAAATAACACATAGCTTAGAGGGTAATAGAGAAAACATTGCAACCCACACACTATAAGCCAAAATTGACAATGTTTTTTCGAGGGGTAACAATCTGCTGTATCACCCTCTAAGCTATGTGTAATCTATCATACTGAAAGTTCTTATTATTGTCTTTTAAGTTTTAAATATTACATCATGTACATAATAGCCATCCATATTTAATAAAGTGCAAAAATGATCAAGCATCTCAGTGAAATGTTACCGATTATAGGTGTTCCCACTATATGTATCACTTTGCTCAGCTCTTCATAAAATTTCATATGACGGCTCTGTGATGTCAAATACCTTAACCCGGCCTAAATAACTTTGACCCTGAATATATCACTAGCAATTTAATGAATGAACCAACGTTGATCAGTTTGACCTGATCTTATCAAGTCATCTTTAGGTTTGCTTGTGAAACAAAGAAAATCTCTTGTTTCTATCATGCAAAGTACACAAATACAATCCGATATTTTCATCATATTCATATTGTAAAATATCAGCTGCTCAACACAATATGAAACTTTTTGAACTAGTTCGCTGCACTCACTTGACAAAAAGCTTCATTCTGTGAATCGCAGCTGATATTTTACAATATGAATATCTAGTATATATAAGCCATGGGATAGAGTAGTATGTCTCCCTTGTATTAAATAATCATAATCTGATATTTTAACACGAAGTATAATAATCAAAATTACCCTGCAGATAGTTCGTAATTGTTTATTTCCAGCAAATTCTTGTTCCTCTAGTCTTCTTTGTGCATCATCTTGCCAGTGTCTCCATTTCATGTCAAATTCTGCCACTGAATGTCCTCTTGACATTTGCTGAAAACAGAAAATATCTGTTTTAAAAAGAGATATTTTGGTTTTAATCCCATATGTTTTATCAAATACATATTTCATTTAACAACATTTTTTTCTTTTAAATTCTTCCCTTGTTTAAAATATATAAGGGCTAGGTCATAATTCATTTTTCAATATATATAAAAAATCTCTTCTTAGCATTTACCTTTTTTAAGTAGACCGTTGTGAAAGTACATAATCTGCAATATTGCATTATTGCATTTCATAATACTGACATCAACTTCCAAACAAATTTAGTTATTCTTGTTGTTGAAGCTCAGAAAAAACATAAAACTGTCTTGGAATGGACAAACACAAGACATAAAAAATTGACAAACCATTTTTACATGGATCTCTTCTATATGCATAGAAACTGTTTTGCAAAAAGCTGGAAAGTTCATTGTTGGGTCCATTTGAGATCATTAAGAAGAGAAGTCCAACAGTTTATTTAACCAAAGATTCCAGAGAGTTTATTGTCAATTTTGAACTCATGCTTTTTACATAAACTCGACTACAGGAACTTCTGAAATAACACTTTGGTAGACATTGGTGTCACTAATAGGAAAGGTGATAATGCAAAAAAAAAAAACAAAAAAAAAACTATGCATTGCTCCCACTATCAAATTTCTGTGTTCAATGAACAATAGAATCTTGTTCAAAACCCTAATTTGATAAATATTTTGAAAAGTTCACATTATAATGAAAAAGTTTCAAACTAATGTGACCACATCTTCTCTGCAAACTACCTTAAACTCAAACTTTAGCATGTTACAGGATGGATGAACAGATAGATTAACAAACTAACAGGCAGATGGACAGTGAGACAGGAAAATATAATGCCTCCTCTACAATTGTATGCAAGGCATTACAATTAATTGATGTACAGCTGCTGAGTATGTACCTTCAAAACAAGGATATAAAACTGAATGTTGGTTTAAAATTTACTTGTAAATTTTTTTTTTATTTGATTTGTAGGTTGCACTTTGTAAATACAGCTGTTTCTCAAACCACGCCTCTTTTGGGGAGATATATAATATTCATAGATATGTTAATTTGTTAACGTACTGGTTCCCATTTATGATCTCTGTGTTTCATCTCATAGAAACATCACTTGGGAATGTAACCAGTATAGAAAAACATGGTAGCGCCTAAATTTTAATTCTTAGGAGGTCCAAATATGGAGGTAAGGGTAGTATAGAATTTTAGTACAAGTTTAAACTCTTAGAAGTTCAGGGCATATAAATGTTGAAAATATGCTGCACAGCCCTATATTTTGACCTTTGAATAAAATAGTAGTGCATATAAACTTTCCGTTCTGGGATATTATTTTTCACGAAACTTCATAGTAAAAGTGTCACAGTTTCAGCTGCAGGTGTAATACCACCATTGATTTTCCCCTATTAGTCTTTGTTAAATTTGCACTTTTCAAAAAATTGTGCAGAATTTATCTTTGTTTCAAATAAAGAAATACTTGGCATGAGTAAAGTTTTATCCTGTCCAGTACTATAGAAAAAATTTCACATAACATTTCATTGCATATAAGAAAATAACCATCACTGGAAGTTAACCAATCAAATTTTCCCCCTTTTTTAACCTGTGTACAAGCTTTAGTAACCATGTAACCTCAAGTTTCCAAAATATTCTATTGAAACCCCAAATAAAGAAATAATGGTGCTTTGAAATACCCAAGATATATGTTTATGACTCAGAAATGTTTTACTGCAATGAAATGTAGGATCAATTACCTACAACTGTCAAATTCAAGGGAATATTTTTTTTCGACCTATTTTCGTATGCAACCGGATGTGACGTACTATGATTTGGTGGTATTACACCTAAAGAAGACTTTTTTGTTGAATAAACTGAATGTGACTTTTTTCCTTTGTAATACTGGTTATTTCAAGCATTCCTATCAAGTTTTGTCATAATCAGTTCAATAGTTTGAGAAAAATCTAGTATAATGTAAGACGACATCTACAGCGATTCGAGCAAAATTTCTTCGAAAAATTCAAACCAAGCCGCATCATGATAGAATATAGTGTGGACCAATAAATGATCAAATATTTATCTCACCTGCCTACAAACAGTTGAATATGATACAAAAGATGACTTTAGGATGATAAATACTACTAATGGACCTCTTATTCTTCCTTATAAAGTCTCTTTTGGTCCATTTATACCTCTCATTTCCTCAAAATTTCTACTTTTTAAGCCAATAAATAAAAATTTTGGGGTAACTTTCACTCATTTATGATAGGAATGTTATTATAAATGATTAATTGAAGTATTCAAGCTGCTTGAACTATCCGTATAAAAGTTTACTGTCTCCAAGGAGGTTTCAATAAGACCTTGCGTAAAACTTAAATTTACGCCGCGTTCCAGAGAGGGACATAAAAAACTTCTCTTTTGGTGAATAATTTGTTGTTACTGCTTTAAAAATAATTTCATTTACTTAAAACTATATATTTATTAAAGTATTTCTTAGGAAAAATTTTCTAGTATAGCAGAATATAAGAAATAAGGAGAAAAAGCTCCCCAAGACTCTAAGTATGGCTTGTTCTGTCAACTAATATTCATGGTAAAATCCTATTTCAAGGAAATTTTCTCATAAAATGTATTTTGGAGACTCAATCCACTCAGAATATTTCATTATTTGTAATATATCACTTAAATAGCAAGAAATTTTAACACATGAGAGTACTCACAAGGTCAAAGGTGCATGTACAGCTTCCCATATTAGGTGTAATACCACCATTGATTTTCCCCTATTAGTCTTTGTTAAATTTGCACTTTTCAAAAAATTGTGCAGAATTTATCTTTGTTTCAAATAAAGAAATACTTGGCATGAGTAAAGTTTTATCCTGTCCAGTACTATAGAAAAAAATTCACATAACATTTCATTGCATATAAGAAAATAACCATCACTGGAAGTTAACCAATCAAATTTTCCCCCTTTTTTAACCTGTGTACAAGCTTTAGTAACCATGTAACCTCAAGTTTCCAAAATATTCTATTGAAACCCCAAATAAAGAAATAATGGTGCTTTGAAATACCCAAGATATATGTTTATGACTCAGAAATGTTTTACTGCAATGAAATGTAAGATCAATTACCTACAACTGTCAAATTCAAGGGAATATTTTTTTTCGACCTATTTTCGTATGCAACCGGATGTGACGTACTATGATTTGGTGGTATTACACCTGCAAAGGGAGTTCCTATGGGAAATTGCATTGTCTATATTTACAGAATTGCAACCTATATAGGGTTAAAAATTAGAACATACAGATTTTCACAAAATCTGGTTTATCTCAGAGATTTTAAAGAATTTAACTCAAATATGAAGTTTTATAAGTATTTCATGAAGATTGAGAAAATCCTGAACCTTAATTATGATGACTCAGCATAAATTCACATTTTACAGTAAGCAGTGTTTTCCCTAGGCTATTCAAGCATTGCGGTACCGCTACACATAAATTTCGACCGCCATGCTTTCATCATTGCCGCAATGCATCCCACTATGTGTGAAAATTATAACTGTGTAAAATATTTTTTATCGATATTTTGAAAGTGAAGTAACAAGCGACAACACTCCACAGGTGTTTTAAACTCATCCGACTAATAATTGAATGCATCACGTCGCGCGTGCCGGGATTTTACAACCTTCTTGATTAGACGGTTATACATCGAGACTTGGGTTACATAATAGAAGTTACCAGTCAGCTGATAAATAAATAGTCAGATTTATCTCCAATGCATATCTTTCTGTGCTAAATAAAAAGTTTAAACTTTTCCTGTCAGGGGCGTAGCTACCTTCTAAATGAAGTGGAATCACAATCTAAAGGGCGAGGGGTCTGGGCTTTTGCCCTGGTAGGGGTCCAGGGGGGCGAAGCCCCCCGTAAGCTCCGCATATATAGTGTTTCAAAACAATCACAACCGTAATAAAACTTGGACATTTTTGTTGTGTTTTTTTTGTCAACTATTTGTTTAACTTCGAGTCGAATGAAGACTAAACATTGTCGTTTGCGTATTTGTACGCCGTGACAGCTTTTAAAAATCACGGAGATTAATTGTTCCATATGCTAGTATTTGTATTGAGTAAAGAAGTATAAAAAACAAACAATAAACATAAACACAATACTATATGTGTTGTTTCTGTTAGCATAAACATCATTGGATACCAAATACTTGGTGGACACATTCTCCAATATTTTGCTTAACATATGTATTTAGATGTTTAAAAATTTTGTGGGTAAACTCTACAAGACAGAGGGATATGAATTTCTAATTTTACGCAGTTAGGAATTGTCGAAGTTGAAATTATTGAACTTTTTCATAGGGAATGGTACTTTAATCACGATCTTTTTCATGATCTGCGTTTGTTTATTATCCAGCTAATTGACAAATACATATGCATTCGACCAGTTGTATGACAATATCTAGATGATAACAGTGAAGATACGTGTATTAAAAGTTTGGTGTATCTTTCGAACAAGAATCAGCAGTTTAGTGTCCGACTCGGACAGAAAATTCATTATAAAATTGAATGACCAAATAGTCCAGTAAAACGAGTTAGAATTAACAATTTATTTAAATGCTTTAACAATCAACCATTCGTATAGCCGGTCCATATAGAAACGACTTCCAATTATCGAATCTATATACAAGATGTTTTTTTGTTAAATAGATGAAAACGTAATACATGTACTGGAAAATATGTACTTTTTTTTTATAATAACAGCAGTTCTGCTAGTATACGGAAACTATTGATTGATTGAATTGTTATTAATGTCCGGTGGCAAATATTAAATGCACACCAGGTCAAGAATACGTTGACGTGATGTGAAAATGAACTATTCGTGTTGTCAAGACCTACATACTTGGTCAATTTTGAACTAGTTCACAAGGTAACAGTCATTATTCCCGGATGGATACGAGTTGAGTCTTCGTTCTAGTACGATGTGTGCTATGGGGTGAAGCGGAAAATAATAATTTGCAAGTTTTTTTGTTAACCCTAAAGGGATTATGTTTTTTTTTTTTGCACTCAAAGCAAGTCTACATTATGGTGGTGGTACCGACAACTATGTAGCTGGTATTTTCTAAACAATGCCCGTAATATAAAAAGTTTACACCAGTTGTATGTATTTATGGTACACATACATATCTTACATGATTAAAAATTTCGCTGCATGTGTATTCCTCTTGCTTTTATTCTTTGTGCTGTTCTTAAAATGCATACATAGAAAGACCAATTCCTGTATATGTTAACTTTGTCCCCTCTTTCTCTCTGTTTTTTTTTTTCTTTTTTTCTCTTTTTTTTTTGTGTGAAAACGACGTGGATGCACGTGCTGCCGTGCCCCCGGGTAGCTACGCCCCTGCCTGTATAAATTTCACCTTAAAAACGGCCGGGTGTTTGACATCGTTATTTTACTGTGATCTTTAAAAAGTAGAAATTTAAAATTTGGTATAGTCTCTGGTATTATAAAATAAAACTAAAATAATTTCACCAAGAATGGACAAAACATTTTTTTTAATAAAGTTTCGCAGTTACTTCATCAGCTATATTTACATCGATGAATTATTTTTTGATTGGTCACAACAATCAGTTATTTTTAGATTAGTCACGGTTGATTGATTTTATCAAAGAATACACATCACCGCCATGGGCCGAGAAAAAGACGTGTCTTATTAAATATTTAAAAGATTTGATAGAAAAACTTTCAAAATATACGTAGTTATTTACAGAAATATTGTTTTTAATAAACTTGTGTTGTTCTATTTTTATTTCAATGGGTCACAATCTTCACGTGTAGCGGATTCATTTGCAAAAGTGGGGCTAAATTTCTTTCACTTCGGCAAGATAGGATTTTTACAATTATGAAGCGTTATAAATAAATCGGACAGGGATTTATTTAAAAAAAAAATAGTTAATCGTCATGAAATAAAATGTCAGCTTAGCTTCCAAACAGGTAATTGCCAAATATGTCATCCGTGTGTCCGTATGTCAGGTATACCTCACTGACGACTTCTGTAATTAACGCAAATAAACTTTTTTTTTATTGTTTCCTGTAAAATCTCTGTGAAGCAATGATGACATTCAAAGTTTTATTTAACAACTTGCTGTTGATTCTGAAACCATTCTATCAGCAAAATTCGAAGAACAATCATCAGTTTAACAACCATGTCCAAGCAACCATCAAAGAAACGTCGCCTTACTGGCCCAACTTTTTTGACAAGTTGGTTAGAGAAGTCTACTCCTTCATCAAATTGTAGTCAGACAGATTAAAATCACCTTTGAGAAACAGACTATGCCAAAAAGTGCTCAATTGCTTAATGCATATATCAATTGAAGGACCAAAGGAAGAAGCTTTTGATTTTTAAAAATATGTGGTGACCTTTGGAAATTGAAACAGAGGAAGATATCAACAAAATAATGTGTATATGACATGATAACTATTGCAGACTGGATTATTGTTATTATTGTTTATATGGTCTTTCATTAATTACTCTCATCTGTGATAAATACTTTAAAATTCCATGACTTATATGAATTGCTGTACCTATAATAAAACAATTAGATTGGTATATGGCTTTAAACATATAAATTATGTGATGTAACTAATTCTGAAAAAAAGCGTCACGAGCCGCGTTGCAAATTCACCATGGAACCACCATGCATGAAAAATTTTCTAGGGAAGACACTGAGTAAGCATGGTTTACTTAAAGCCCTGAATTCAAAATAAATTCATAATATATGCCTATTTGTAATTTAAATTGTTTAGAAGTGCTTATATTTACTCTTCGCAGTCATTGCAACTCATTGATTCTTCCTAAATATTTTTGTTGGGGTGTTTTTGTCCTGTCGATAACCCAAAAGTAAGCCGTAACACCTAAATGTGCTTTTTTGTGACCGCGGCATTAAAAAGTACAAGCTAGAATTACAAAAAGACCTCAATAAAACTTACAATAGTGTGTTCTATCCTAAATATATACAAAATATTCCACATTGCTAGAAACAGGGAAAATATTTAGGAAATGTGAGGCCCCAGGGACAAAAAACAGAAAAAAATGCCTACCCCTGGGTCATAAAACAGATAATTTAACTTGTAAATGCTATGATTTTATTATTTTCAAGGTCTTTTGTAAAGAAAACAATAACTGTGCTGGGAAGTTATGCAAAAATAAGATGTAAGCAGTCATTTCTATCAAGCTTTTAGTGAATTTATGCACCAGACTGATATCTTCTTAAAAACAACTTTTGCAAATATGGCTTTGTTTAGACACTTCTAGTTCATATATTAACTAACTTATGTTAGATATATGGTTAGGGATGATACTGTTGAGACAAGAATTCTTAACTTATCATTTGAGACAGAAATTATGAACTTTCATTGACAAATAGGCATTCAGTAAGATGTGGACTGGAGACACAGGCAGGATTGGATACTTTGTATAATCTTGAAAGTTGGAATGATTAACTACTAAACAATACACTTATAGTATTACAAAATGCTTTCAATTTGTTATCAGAATAGTTTCAAACAGGTTTTAGACAGTTCATGTCAGAAAACATGCACATAGGGTAAGCTGGCAATAATTAAAGTCTTGTTTTCAAATTCTTTAAAAAATTAAAACAGGGGTAGGGGTATAAAATGTACTGTAAAAGGAAACTTAGAGTATATGCAGTGATTTCTTTAAGGCTATAATTCTGATAAATAAGTATTGTTGTGAGAAAAAGTGTTTTTAGAGAGTTTTCTATTTGAATAAATGTTTGTATAGGTTGCACTTTGTAAATACAGCTGTTTCTCAAACCACGCCTCTTTTGGGGAGATATATAATATTCATAGATATGTTAATTTGTTAACGTACTGGTTCCCATTTATGATCTCTGTGTTTCATCTCATAGAAACATCACTTGGGAATGTAACCAGTATAGAAAAACATGGTAGCGCCTAAATTTTAATTCTTAGGAGGTCCAAATATGGAGGAAAGGGTAGTATAGAATTTTAGTACAAGTTTAAACTCTTAGAAGTTCAGGGCATATAAATGTTGAAAATATGCCGCACAGCCCTATATTTTGACCTTTGAATAAAATAGTAGTGCATATAAACTTTCCGTTCTGGGATATTATTTTTCACAAAACTTCATAGTAAAAGTGTCACAGTTTCAGCTGCAAAGGGAGTTCCTATGGGAAATTGCATTGTCTACATTTACAGAATTGCAACCTGTATGTCTTATAGTTTTGCATTTAAGTTGTATCACTTTGAAAAGTTCACTTAACTAAGCCTTATGACTTACAGAAAATATAGGCATTCTTTTCAAAAGATCATCTATGCTCTGGAAATTGTCAGAATATGCTGCTGTGTGTTTTGAAAGTAGTCGTCTAGCATGATCAATCTGACCCTGTAATACTAGTCTATATACCTGAAAAGAAAATAAGTCTGCATTAACTTTAATATATAAAATGCACGCGATATCTTTTTAATAAATATATCTATCCTTTACTGGGCTAAACATAGTGAAGCAACAATATTGTCATATTTACTGTATCCCAATGGAATTGATGACTTTCTGGTCTCTCTTCTTGTAATGCTTGCAAAAATTTCATACTCACTGTATCCCAATAGAATTGATGACAATCTGGTCTATCTTCTTGTAAAATCTGCAAAATTGTCTCCTCATCAGTAAAATGAATTCTTATCCAATCTAATAACTGTGTTATCACTAGTCCTCCTGTAATACAAAAAAAAAGTTAGTTTCGAGTTAAGAGTTTACAATATAATGATACCAATAATTATTCATTTTGTCCAATAAACAAATTTTCAAATGTTAGCGTTATTATAATCAATATATTCAGAGACATATTTTAATTGTCTGATCTATTCTGTGCACTTAGTGTTTAGATCATCCTTTTAAAATGATAAGGACATCCTTTGATTCAAGCAATTTTATAATATAATGTATGCATCAAATGCCAACAGAAAAGTACCTTCAGTTTGTACTTATCCAAACGTCTGTCTAAATACTTAGGGTATTTCCAGAAATATATACTGGGGTAGATAACAAAGAAAAAACAAAAAGTACAAACTACTCTACTATGATTAATGGTGGTAAATAAATAATCTTATTTATGTGTATTCACTTATTTTCATAAAATAATGCCAAAAACATAACATTATCACACAAATTTGTTTATCATTTTGCAGATCAATACAAAAATACTCTATTTTAGGGACCTAACTTCAAATGCTTTTTTATCTCCACTTTTTCAAAAGTCAAATGATGTGTGTAACTCTATAGAGGTTGTTGACGTCATAATATAAATACCATTTTTAGTTTCACATGTCAACAGCAAAAAATGTTTGTGAATCAGGGTAATTCATTGTAAATTATCCCTCTGTATATTCCTTAGATAATATATGACATGGTCATGAATAAAAGCGTTTACCAGCAATAGGTTTCACATTGAAATGAATTTTAAAAATGAATCAAATCACAATGTCTGTACGGTAAATCCATCTTTGAAGACTGTATTAATGATTAACTAATTGGCTAACTTAAATTGCTGGTTTTCTATCGCATCAATATTTAACTAACATATTGTTTTAGTCATATTGTTGCATTTAACACCCTCAAAAAAGTATTTTTCAATGGCTCTGAAAATATTAGAAATCTATCTGATATTGCAACTAAAAAGATGAGTCATGTACATGTATTTAAATTTATACACTGGACTTATTTTGGTGATCCTTTCATAAAAAAAGTCTTGCATTCACAGTATTACAGTAATCAATCAAAAGCCACCATCCTATGAATCAATATATGCATACTACTATTAAATTATGATTTTACCAGCAGGGCTGTCAAGGAACAATATTTCACATAAACTCCAGATAAGTTCTGACATCTTTAACAATCGTAATAAATCTAAATAATTCTCCTTCTTGTCTTCATCTATTGTGGCATCTACAATTAAAACAATTCATTACAAATAGAAGAAACAGAAATATCCTCAATAAATCTAAACATGAATTTGTATTTCAAATAACATTTTATGCCATTCAATTCATTTAAATAAAATTTAGTCTTCAATTTGAAAAGTTTTTGTGTCAGTGTTATTTACCTAAAACTAGAGGCTTTCAAGGCCTGTGTCGCTCACCTGTACCTACTGTGGTTTTGGAAATCATGTTTAATAAGGTTAAAATCATAATAAATAGTATTAGATACCCTAATAATGACTGAGGCCAAGTTTGGTTTAATTTAGCCCCAGAGTTAAATTAAAAGCAGAAGATTTTTTGAAAAAAGTTTACAAAAATTACCAAAAAATTGCAGAAAATGACTTTAAAGGACAATAACTCCAATAAGATGTCAATTGACGATTTTGGGCATGTTGACTTATTTGTAGATCTTACTTTGCTGAACATTATTGCTGTTTACAGTTTAAGTCTATCTAGAATAATATTCAAAATAACCAAAAACTGCAAAATTTCCTTAAAATTACCAATTCAGGGCAGCAACCCAACAATGGGTTGTCTGATTTGTCTGAAAATTTAAAAGGCAGATAGATCTAAACCTGATGAACATTTTCACCCCAGTCAGATTTGATCCTAATGCTTTAGTTTCAGAGATAAAAGCCAAAAACTGCATTTTATGTTCTCTTTTTAGCCATGTCGGCCTTGTGTTGGCAGGCTGGGTCATCGGACACATTTCTTAAACTAGATACCCTAATGATGATTGTGGCCAAGTTTGGTAAAATTTGTCTCAGTAGTTTCAGAGGAGAAGATTTTTGTACAAGTTAACGACGACAGACGCCAAGTGATGAGAAAAGCTCACTTGGCCCTTCGGGGCCAGGTGAGCTAAAAATAACTTTTGTTTTATATTTTAAGGATTAAAATTATTTCCTAATCCTATTAGTTTTTTATATATTTTTTTATCAATACATTGTAAAGTCATGACTGTTGTATCTTTAATCACTTTGCACTATTTCTAATTCTATTTATACTATACCAGCTAGCTTCTTTAATTCATCACTGTAAGCTATTAACACCGCAATGTATTGTCTACTTGATTTCAGTATTCTACAAAAACAAATAATATTAAAAACAATACAAATTTTGGTACCATATCATAAATGTTGACATTTGATTTGGCCAAATTGCTTTAACATGTAGATTATAACACATCCTTTCCACACCAGTCCCATAGTTAGCCTGATGTATTACCATTAAAAAGCCTACTGATATACCTATGAAAATACTTCTAAGACAGCAGTTTCAGTTCCACAATCTAAGTTTTTTGAAATCTAATCAAGTTACAAATGATGTATTTCAATTAATATTGTAACACTTACAAAGGATGTATACTTCCTCCAACAGCTTTTTCTGCTGCATGTTTCTGTAACATGACAAAAATATCTAAAACAAAAAATAAAACATATAAGTGTATGTATTCAGCTATCAAATGTTTGTAAATTGTCTCAAATTTCTCATTTTAAATACTTTTTGCTGCAAGTCAAATTGTGTACCAAGGTAATATAAAATTGTGGGGACTTGAATGTATCTATCATTTTTTTTTCAGGACAGATAACTTATTTGATGTTAATTCCCAGTCTTTAAGGCAAAAGAAACAATCCAAATTCCTCTTAATTTTCTACATTAATCTATTATTTGATCCAAGGTACAAAAGATATGCTACAGTAAGAGGTAAAGGTCTTTTCAGACATTTTTTATACAACAAAAAGTGTTTTCTTTGTAACAAAAATGATTAAGAGAACAAAAAAAACCCTTCTTATTTCAACTTTTTAAAATGATTGTAATTTACAATATCTAAAATCTACGACAGTATAGTTCTGTCAAATTATAATGTGCAGTGAAGTCACTGATTTATTTCTTTTTATGATAATGTGCATGAAAGTCATTGCTTAATTATGTAGCAAATATTTTTTTTTACATTTTCTTGAATAATTTGTGTACTTCAAAAAAAAAATGCACCAGCAAGCACAATAAATTGTATGATACAAGCTTAAACATTAGTGGTAAATGTCTATTCAAAAGTAACAATAAATCTTGATCGTATTCTTAGCAATAGATAGTTTTCCAGTCACATACGTTGTAATAGTTATTTTGCTTGGCTGACATGTTGGAGGGCTAACTGATTGATTTTCCTTTTTGTCTAACAAAATTTAAGCATTTAGCACAAGCAAGTCGGATAAAAGATCATTACTAGATAGTAGTAATGAATTAAACAAGACTTTAACAAATGAAAATTGTTCAGAAATCAAATTTCTCTGAAGTCTAGCAGTCTGTATAAAAATACAATTTGCTTGATTTAAGAAAGATCTTTATCACATTGCCCTAAAACATGTTGGCAAAGGGAAAAAACTCAAACATAAATTATGTCAAAGGAAAACTATGTATATTTATTATGGTTTTTCATTCTCAATGTATAAGCTTGTAATCATGACTTAGTTTTGGCAAAGTAGGCAACCATCAAAAGCTCCAGAAACACAATTCAACTAGTATATTTCTTTGAGGATAATATTTCAAAAGGCATTTACTGTTTTTTTATTAAATTGGACCATAACATCTCTTCAAAATAAAATGAATAAGTTATGCTTTGATATCTTTTTTCAAGACTAATAAATATTTAACTAACATTTTGATTATGGTCAGTGATTGACAGTATACATTGTACCATAACTGGATGCCATTGAGAATATTGGATCCAATAACTCACTATGCTATTCAATGACAAACTGTTCCATGAATGGTGTAGATTTGTATTCCCACAACTCACTATATGAGATTAAATAAAATGCTCCGCTGGGCGCAGCTTGATACGACCGCAGAGGTCGAACCCTGAACAGTTGGGGCAAGTATGGACACAACATTCAAGCTTGATACAGCACTGAATTTGGATTGTGATTAAATATTCGAAATAGCATAGGTTTCTGACACAGAATGAATATGGTCTAAGAACTTAAAAAATTTTAATTTACCTATTCAAACCATATCATTATTATTTGCTTTTATATATAAATCAGAAATAACCAATTTAAAATGGAAAATTTTAAAGAAAAAAAAAATCCCTCCCCCAAATTTTTTGAACCCCCTTATGATTCATCACCCCCAAACTCAATCCCAGCCTTCCCTTTGTGGTATGGTACCTTGCAGTACAATTTCAGAGAGATCCAAACACTTGAACACAAGTTATTGTCTGGAAACTAGAAAAATGCTTGTTTTTGGCCCCTTTTTGGCCCCAAATTCCTAAACATTTAGGGCAATAACCCCCAAACTCAAACCCATCTTTCCCTTTGTGATATGGAACCTTGTAGTACAATTTCATAAAGATCCATACACTTACACACAAATTATTGTCCTGAAACTAGAAAAATGCTTGTTTTTTGCCCCTTTTTGGTCCCCAATTCCTAAAATTTTGAGGCAATTACCCCCAAAATCAATCCCAGCCTTCCCTTTGTGGTATGGTACCTTGCAGTACAATTTCAGAGAGATCCATACACTTGAACACAAGTTATTGTCTGGAAACTGTAAAAATGCTTGTTTTTGGCCCCAAATTCCTAAACGTTTAGGGCAATTACCCCCAAACTCAAACCCAGCTTTCCCTTTGTGATATGGAACCTTGTAGTACAATTTCATAAAGATCCATACACTTACACACAAGTTATTGTCCTGAAACTAGAAAAATGCTTGTTTTTTGCCCCTTTTTGGTCCCTAATTCCTAAAATTTTGAGGCAATTACCCCCAAAATCAATCCCAGCATTCCATTTGAGATATGGAACCTTGTGGTACAATGTCAGAGAGATCCATACACTAACACACAAGTTATGTCTGGAAGTTACAAAAATGCTTATTTTTGGCCCTTAATTCCTTAACTGTTGGTACCAAAACCCCCAAAATCAATCCAACCTTCCTTTTGTGGTATTGAACCTTATGGCAAAATTTCATAGAGATCCATTCACTTAAACTAAAGTTAGAGTGCGAAAACCAATGTGTCTTTGGACGACGACAACGACGCCAACGTCATACCAATATACGACCGCAAAATTTTTACGGTCGTATAAAAATTGTTCATGATTAAGGTAGATCTACTTACTGTGAGATTCATTGACAAGCTTCCTCATGACTGGATGATATAAATCAATGTCCCATCTTACTTCCCTTATCTCTTGTAATCTTCTACAGTGCAACTGATTTTCTACAACAGAAAGATAATTCAATGACCACTTCAGTGACAAGAATTCATAATACACACACACACATACATAATAAACACTGTGGCAAGAAAAGAATACATGATACACATTGTGTCAAGAGTATACATAATACACATTGTGACAAGGATACATAATACACATTGTGACAAGGATACATAATCCACATTGTGAGTAGATTACATTACACCTTGTGAAGAGATTACATAATACACATTGTGACAAGAATACATAACACATTGTGACAAGAATAAATAATTCACATTGTGACAAGATTACATAATACATATTGTAACAAGAGGTGGTACTGAAGACTGATAATGTGATTTCTAACAAATTTCCATGTCCATATATGCTTTCTCATTAAAAACTATTAACTTGTTAAGCATAAAATTTATAGAAACTAACAATGAAGAAAAAAAAAAAAAAGAAAAAAAATAATACAATACAGCCCTCAATTTAGGCTATTAAAACAGTCGCCTTGGCGACCTATAAAGCCTCCAGGCGACCTTTAATTTCATTGTTGGTTGCCATTTGGCAACCGTACAATTCCGGATAAATAACCTGCCTCCGGTCATATTTTATTAAGTTTTATTCACAGTCATACGAGCGCTTGAATGTATGCTTAATCTTGAATATGATTTCAAGCATTTTTAATCTTAACTGGGTCTATAAAGTGCTTAACTTAACTGGGAATTCAAATGTCTGATGAAGTGTTTTCGGGGCCAATACATCTTAGCAGCCAAACAGATGTTGCTGTCCGGATTATTCAAGTAAACAACCCAAAACAACGATGTTTCACCAGCTAAGAAACAAAAAGAAGGGGCGGAGAGTTCCTCTATAGAAACTCCGGCTTTAGAAGAGCTAAGTACATCTTCTAATGTTACGATTAAGCGTAAAATTGCGGCACCAACTTCAAGTGGTACTGGAAAATTTTAAAAAATTTTAAAAAAAGAGTTGTCCTGGTTGATCTATAATGAATATAAAAATAAAATGAGCTGCAAATTTTGCCAGAGCCTTCCTGATTTAGCTGGCCAATCAGATATTTGCTTTGAACAAAGACTAACTTATTTTATGTCTTCTATTATATACAACAGAAAATTTATTGATATTCCTTTTTTTACTAGTCTTAACTAGCTCTATGGACTAGACTTTCATAACAAATTTCTTAGGCGACCTGAATTTATTTCCTGTCCACTAAAATTTTGAATTGGCCACTGAAATTTTATATCTGGTGGCCAAAAGGCAACCTGGTCTTTAAACCTATTTTGAGGGCTGCAATAAAGTTATAACAAAGAAAACAATAAACATCTTATCATAAGCATTTAATGGTTTTTCATGGTTTTCTAAATATCTAAATGAAGTTTAAATATGGTGTTTTTTTTTCTAATATGATACAAGTACATGTAACAAATACCTGGATACAAGGTGGGTTTTCTTCCTGGAAATACAAATAACTGGTTCCCAAATCCCCATGTTGACTGTAACCCTGCAGTACATGCTGGGTCATATATTGTCTAAAAATGAACAATGTGTATAATCATTAACAACAAAACTATTCATACATATGGCCTTTAACTCAGAACAAAATCCATAAAGCCCCCCAAAAAAGTAGGTTTGTTTCCGGTTGCATGTCACCCAAAAATAGGGTCAGAGGGTCAGGTTTTTTTGTACTACTAATTTTCAATTCTTCAATCGATCTCTTCATAACGTTCTTTGAACTGTTGTTCGAATATTTTGATTTATGATACTGTCATGAGTGTTTGTAAATCAGGTTTATGAATGCATTTTATCAACTGAACTGCAAACACACTACTTATAAGCCATTCATTTGTTTATTTTCATTCACGGTAAACAAAAAAAACCTTTCACAAATAGCGCAAATTAGACTCAGATGATTTTGAGACATGCTAAAAGAAGAGCTTTTTTTCTTGATCACATTGAACTTTACCATTTTTTTTGTTTAAATTGGGAAAAAAAGTTAGGGTCAGTCTTGCGACTGGAAACATACATACATATATTTTATTTTTTTGGAACAAGGGTCAAATATAAGATTTTATTGCAGTGAAAATCTCTTCTTCGGTTACAGAAAACCATCAATGTACTGATGTTTACTTTCCAGCTAATTAGATGTAGTCAATGGTTTTCATGTCTCTCATATTTATGCTAGTTATGGAACTACTATTTAAATTTGAAAATTTTTCACAATTTTTTCTCTCCTTTTTTATACGTCTCTATCTTAACCAAGTGTAACATAGGAAAATCTTGTGTCCAGTCCTCGTGTTTTGCAGCACACTTAATGATAAAATGACTTTTGGTTCAATAAAAATCCTGTTCAAAATAAGCTTCTGTCAAAACACTTAATGCCTATTTATGTAACGAACATATTATATGTGGCCAAAGTGACATGATAGGCAAACTGGCTGCAAAGCCGAAAACATCTTGAAAGCCCATCTACATATACAAAATATATTATTTTTTTAAATGTACTTTGTGTAAAAGCAACTTATAGTATTCATTTTCAATGTGGTTCTTGATCATATATCAAATAGCACTTTCGGGAAATGTCAAGGAGATTTATGTTGCTCTTGTTGAAGTAATTTGTAACTACTTCATTTTTTCCAATTTAAGTAAGATGGAGGCCGATCCGTAGAGGACATAATTAAGCGAAATTATTGATGAAGATTTCATGAGACGGTCAAAAACAATTTATGAAAAAGTGTAAAAAGTTCAGAAAACGAAGCGATTAAATGAATAAAAGTAACTTAAATTGAAAGAAAAGTTCAAGCTAAAATGTGCTGAAATGGTGTATGATGTCAAAAATTACTTAAATTGATTAAATTAAGTAAGAAATTTAACCTGGCAAAACACTTTTTCCCGCTCGGCCATTTTGGTTATGTCCCTTTAACTTTAGGACATTCTAAAACAAATATGCTGGTTTCGATCTTAATTTTCCTTTTTGACTGAACATTTTCAAAAAATATTCTTTCATCATATATTAAATCAAATTTGTAATTTTATAACAATGTATTTTATTTGTGTATTTCTAGAAAACAATTTTTAGTAAATTTAGAAAACCCTAAACTATTGTGGTCGGGATCATGTACATATACTAGAACTTGAGGTCAAAATACAGAATGGAACAGATGAAATTTATATCTGCTTCCCAAGTAAAAAATGTTCTTACATTTGAATTGCTTATTCCACAAATGGAGAAAGCACTTGCCAAATTTTCAGACAAAAAAGTTGTTCAACCTGTAAGATCTGTTATTCCTGTCAAGGAATCTGGTGGGTATGTATGTATGTACACTCTGTATATATAACTCTCCTTCCTTAGGAGCACCATCATGAGTTTTGGTGTAAAGGAGAACATTTTGCACACTGTATAGACAAAGATGAATTGGAGAATTTGCCTACATATTTCATAAGCCTGGCCATCACAGGACTTACTACCAGAAAGTTAACCTTCCCAAAAACATAAATCAATTACAATGCATGAAAAACAATATACTAACACATACACACTCGCCTGATTTACTCATCTTCAACATGTAAGAAATTTCAGGTGCTACATGAAACGCCAGCAAAGCAAGCCTCTGCTGTCTGTTTGACAAAAAAAAAGGTATGCAGAAGATATGTTACTCTTTATAGGGTAATGGTTGCTTTTTCAGTTATTCTTGTTCATGCCTCGATTTTTTTCAACAATTAATATATGGTACAACAATAAAAAAAAAAAAAAAAAAAAAAAACGGCATAAGTTACCAAAATTAAATTGTTTTTCTATTCCTAACTAGAGAATATTTATATTCTATTTCGAATATACATTGAAAACAAAGGACACTTCTGTTCCTTTTGCTTTTTTTCTATATTTTGAATTTCCATTCCATTCCATCTTGTAGTAGCATTAAGCAGCTATTTTAAATATTAAAAAAATGAGATTCTGTTTGATGATATGTACTGTTATCAGTATTTATTATAGTTTGATTAATAAATTATAAGAAGCTGGGATATTATTTAAGTAAGGTTCATATAAAAAATAGCTGTCTTTACACCTTGAAATAATTAAATACTTTGGTTTCTCTTTGTTTTTTCTTGCATTTTGTTTTTATTTTGTTTGCTATTTTTTTTCTATTTGCTGTTTTAAAGTCAATCTGCTATCAGAAAGGTAGAACATTTTTTTTTGTATCTTTTAATACTTTTAATGTTGATATGTTTATTAAAATCTTGTTTCATGAAATTTGGATATAAACATGATAAAGAGATGCTTCAGAAGCTATTTTGTTCTGACATGAAATCAGGTCAGAAAGTGCAAAAGAAATTTAAATATTCCTATTTGACATGTACATGATTTTATTGTATTACTTCACATTCCTAAAAAATAAGAAATGAAAATATCAGCATAAAAAGTTAAAAGTGGAAACAGAAAAATGAATGCCAAGGCATATATCATGACTACTGAACACAGGCACTTGTCTCTGAAAAAAATTCTATATACCTTAATATTATGAGACAAGTGCCTGTGCTACTAAAGGAGAATTTCAAACATTCTGTAGCACTTGAAAAAAATTTTCATCAGCATAAAAAAAAATGTTCAACATTCTGAAATACAAAATGCATTATACTTTGCTCCATTCTGAAACACAAAATGCATTAAACTTTGCTCCATTAAATTTATATATCTAGGTTTCCAGGCAATAAAACTTTTCCAGTTGCACAGGTTTGTCTGTACCCAAAGTACATTTTGTTTTGCTTACACAGCCATTTCTGTGATTTTTTTTGCCCTGCCTTCGTTTGTAGTTGGATCATGTTTTACAGTTTTTGTATCATTTATTTGTTTGTCCATTTGTCCATCCATTCACTTGTCCAATACCAAGTTAAAGTGTTGGTTTAATGTATAAAAATAAGAAGATGTGGTACCATTGTCAACTCATCAAACGAGATCAAATGATGTAAAAGTTAGCAACTATAGGTAGTTTGCCACATTAACATGAAAGTTGATTAGTACACATGTTCATTTAGTCCAAATAATTATGACGTCTTGAAAGGCTATTTTTATTTTTTGATGTGATGCCTTACGAAGCCTCACAGCAAAAAATAAAAATTGCTTATGATTTTGACCAAGATTTCACTGGTTCACAACACATGAAAATGTGATAATGTGAGCAGGGTATGGTGCCTTATTCATTAACATATTCTTGTTTATTATATATCAAATGTTTATAATTCATTTCACAGATTTTTTGGTTTGATGCCATCTTTATGCTCTGAAGACAATGTTCTTGCTACTAAACTGGTATCATTTTATCCAAACAACAAGGATGTTCCCACTCACAATGCAGTTATTGCCATGTTTAATGCATCCAATGGTGTACCTGAAGTTGTAGGTATTAAAAAAAATAAATAATTGTATTTACTCTTTATAAATTAATGATTGTATTATACTACTCACGCTTATTAACATAGTTTTACAAACATTTGTAATGTATCCCAAAAGTTGCTCTTGGAAATAAATATTTTCCAAAGTCATCTTCTGCTTGGCAGAAAGATCCTTGCTGAGGATGACCATTTGTTTGTGCTGCTGAGAATATGTAAAATCTTGTTAACATCAAAATTAAGCGGAGATGTCAAATCCAAGAATATGTTAGAGCATTGAAAAATAAACGGAATTACAATTTATTTGGGTCATACATAATCTGTTGTTAAGAAAAAATTTACATTACTGAATATATGCCTGTTTCTTTGTGGCAGTATTGAATGCTATTTTTTGACGTACACATGGTTTTGATTAATTTATGAAAATGAATATTCTCCTAATTCAATAGTTACATCACATATTTTGCATTAGCAAATGAATTCAATGCAAATAAGTCAAAAGATCTATTAAGCCTTAAACCTTGAGGCCAGTTAGAGTCTATTCCAATAGTGACATTTAAATACATTGTAAATGACAGTGAAAAAGGAAAAGTTTTAGAGATGAAACATTATGGTTTCGTCATAATGCAACTTTTAGGTTTTGTTTTATCGATAAACATTTTCCACAAATTATCATTGTGGCCCTAAATATCTAATCTATGATTTTGTATAATTATAGATAGTTGATGGTGAAGTAATTACAGCTATGAGAACAGCAGCTGTTTCTGCAGTTGCTTCGAAGGTAAAGTAACTTGTAAATAGTCTGTATATTTTGTACCAATTCTATCATCCTAAGTATTAGATAAAAGTATGTGTATCATATTGAAAATTATGATGATACTGTTAAATTTTTAGTGCTATATGTCATTATAAAACAGTTACAAGATACCTAGGGTGCAATAAAATATTGTAAGTCAAAAGCATACACCACCATGTACAAAAGATAAAGACACAAAGAAAAATGATAGTGTGTAAAATACTGTACAAAAAAACCCTGTAGATCAATATGTACCCAGCCTTATCACTGGATATGACTGAGCAAAAGGGAGATGTGAATTAATTTCAGGGGATATCTGATGACATGCCAAAAAGTGGTGATAAGGACAACTTTAAATTGGCAGATAACTCTTGTCTTACACTTTGGAAAAACGAAATTAATAATTCTTTGGTACATGTAAATTCTCAATTTGATTAAAATCAGATCTTTCACTCTGTGTCATAAGATTTGTTTGTTAATGTTGCATTGTAGCAAAGGGTGCATTAAGTTTTACCCTTATATGTCTGTATGTCCATATGTCTGTACGTCCCGAAATTGGCTTCCGTTCTCTAACTTTAGATTGCCTCACCCAAATGTTATGAATCTTATACACAATGCCTATTACCACAAAACACAGATCAAGTTTGAATTTGGGTGGCGTCAATTTTACCTTTCTAGAGTTATGCCTCTTTACAAATGGAATAAAATGCTTCGCTGAGCGCAGCCTGATACGACTACAGTGGTCGTTCCCTGAACAGTTGGAGCAAATTTGGACACAATTTTAAAGCTTGATACTATCTGAATTTGGATTGTGATCAAATTTTTGACATAATATAGGTTTCTGACACAAAATAAATGTGGTCAAAGATCTTACAAATCTAATGCGCAATACTGTGCAATTGAAGATTTCGTCTTGAAACTTTTCAAAAATTTGAAATTTTGAAAATTTAGAAAAAAAAATATGAACCTTTTAAAAAAAAATTGGAAACCCCCCTCCCCCAAACTTTTTGAATCCCCCTTTTAGCATTAACCATCAAACTCAATTGCAGTCTTTCCATTGTAGTATGGAACCTTGTAGTACAATTTTAGAGAGATCCATACACTTAATCACAAGTTACTGTCTGGAAACTAGAAAAATACTTTTTTTAACCATAAAAGCCCATTTAAATACATCATAAAAGTATTAAAATAGAAAATGACATCATAGTCATGGCTAAAATTAAAAAACCTTCATCAGCAACTTTTAATAGTAATATCTAAAAATAAAATTCCTCCATCATCATTTAAAAGTAACTTCTAAAATTAAATTGACAGCTAGGACTTTGCAACCATAAAAACCCATTTAAATACATCATAAAAGTATTATAATAGAAAATGACATCATAATCATGCCTAAAATTAAAACACTTTCATCAGCAACATTAAATAGTAATATCTAAAAATAAAATTTCTTCACATACATAATCATGGCTAAAATTAAATAATTTTTAACATAGAAAATGACATCATAATCATGCCTAAAATTAAAAAGCCTCCATCAGCATCATTAAATAGTAATATCTAAAAATAAAATTCCTTCACATACATAATCATGGTTATAATTAAATTACCTTTATTAAACATTTTTAAAATAGTAACTTCTAAAAATAAATTGACAGCTAATCACCTAAAGACAATACATTTCTTTATAAATAATTTACAAGCAGTGTAAGGGAGGTAATTTGATAATATATGTCTTTGAATTACCTCCCTTACACTGCTTTAAAATTATGTTTGTACTTGAGTAATTGTCCATTAACCTGGAAACCCTTGTTTTCCCCCTTTTTTTGCCCTTAATTCCTAAACAGTTTGAGCCATAACCCCCAAAGCATATTCTTACCATCCCTTTGTGATATGGTAACTTGTGGTATAATTTCAGAAAGATCCATACACCATTTCACAAGTAATGGTCTGGAAACTAGAAAAATGCTTATTTGGGCCCAATTTTGGCCCCTAATTCCTGAACTGTTAGGATCATAACCCCCAAAATCAATCCCAACCTTCCTTTTGTGGTCATAAACCTTACGGTAAAATTTCATAGAAATCCATACACTTAAACAATAGTTATTGTCCGTATAAAAATTGCTGAATTTTTCGTTTCTGTTCTCTAACTTAAAAGTTTGCCTCAACCAAATGTTATGAAACTTATACCCAATACTTATTATCATAAAACTCAGTTCAAGTACAAATTTGGGTAGCATCACTTTTACCGTTCTTGAGTTATGTCCCTTTATAACTTTCTATGCAAGCGGGGGCATCATCTGTGTCCCATGGACTCATTCTCCATTTACTTTACTATGAACTATCATAAATACTGTCAAGTAATTTCAGAATATAGTCTTGAAATTTTATGTACTAACTTGTTCTTCACCTGACATCATATCTATTTTATACACTGACCTGAATGCAAACATTTCTCAACTCAGCAAAATACTTAAAAGTACATGATTTTATTCATTTTTGAAAGAAAGTAGCACAGTGCAAGATATAGGGATGCTAAAATGGCAGGGGTAGCTTTGATGGTTTATGCTACAGTCAGAGGTTAGAAGTGTTTCACTGTTTGAAAATACCCCCATATATATTTGATATAAAAACAGATGATTTAAAACATTCGTTATATTTTGTCAGATTTGAAATGAAATTTTCACAAATCAATACAGAAATGTCTGTATTTTCTTGCAATATTTACACACTGTTTGTATGACCTATACTTTTAATGATTACACTGATAAAAGACAAATATGAATTTCTGTATAAAAGAAATATATGGCTATATAGGAGAAAATGACACCTTATTTTCATATTTGTATATACCGGCAAATGATGTTTTCTCAGTAATATCATATCAATAAAATATTTCAATATGATCATAAAAAACAGTAAAAAAAATCATCTAAATCAGACCTGAAATAAGTTTTGAACTATTATTTGTAAAATGTGTTTTTATAATATATATATAGTGAAATTTTTGAAGAGGTGAAACACTTTCTACTTCTGACTGTATTAGTATAAATCTTTATATTTCGGAGGTAGTAGACCTGGATTCTTCATACCTTGTATATAGAAGCCTTATGTTATGAAGTTAGGTCTGTCATATGTCCATTGTCCTTGACCTCATTTTTGTGGTTCAGTGACTGATTATAAAACTGTATAGCTTTTTTGTCATGTGAATTTTTCACTTATTATAAGCTGGGACATAACATATTGTATAATAGTCCTGGTTATAAGTAGTAGGATAATTATATTTGGTATATACGATCCGTGCAAGGTCAGTCTCACAGGGTTTAGCTGACCTCAATCTCATTTCAAGGATCACTGATCAAGGTTAAAGTTAACATGAAAAGGTCTGTTACTCAAATACTATAAGAAGTAGATCATCACTATTTGATGAATGGAATGATTGTAAGGTGCACATGTCTGACTGGCAGTTTCATCTGACCTTGACCACATTTTCATGGTTCATTGGTCATTGGTATTTTGTTGTGTTTAGGTCTGATTCTCAGATACTATAAGCAAAAGATCAGCTTTATTGGATGTATGGATTTATTGCATCAGTGTAAATGTCTGTCTGGCAGGATTCATCTGACAGTGACCTCATTTAAAAGGGTTCATTAATTGATAATGTTAAGTTTATGTGACACTTGTGGTAAATCTTTTATCTTAAAGACTTTCAACATATATCAATCATAATAAGTAAATCAGATGAGACATTTCAGTGTATGCACTCTTGTTTATATTGTATATCATAAATTGATAAACACTTTAATCAATAAAATGTTGATTTTTTCAATTAGTTCTGCCAATCTATGTTTGTGTGAGGAAATTTGTAATCAACGAGTAAGCTTGTCACTCAAAATGATCGGTTAATTAAAAATTTGCATAAAAGGTCATCTAAACATGACCCCTGATAGGATGTCTTCAGATCTGACAGGCAGAGACAAACAAAACTAATGGAGCAAAGTGATAGATCTGATTTCAATCAGATCGTGTAAATTCTCTCACTCTGCTTTCATGACCAAATGTTTAAGTTTATTATGATAGTAATGATATTTGTTGAGGAAATTGAATTTTACTAAAATTGTGTAATTGGTTTCTATGTCAATGATGTTTACCCCATGTTTCCTTCTGTAGGCTTACTGAAACTTTCAGAAATGTTTTAACACAAAAATCACTCTGAGTCTGTTTTTGTAATTTTTAATTTTAACTTTATATATGGGACATTGCTTTGCACTGGGGACATTTGCTTATATTTTATCCTCAAATTGACCTTTCTACTATACAAATACAGGCTTGCAGATAACTTGAAGCGATAAACATATAGTATACGTATAGTATACGTTTATAGTCTCCTGGTCGTGTTGATTTCATTAATAAACAAATCCAACAGTGAGAAGGAAAATAAAAACTATGGATTTAAGCAAAAATGTTATATTGCAGGATAAAAACAATATTCGTACATTATATGTACAATATTCGTACATTGTAGGAAAATATAAAATGTATTTGTACTCGTCAAGAAACAGGAGAAAAGCACGGTGAACCTCGATTTTTTCTCTCTGTTTCTAAAGCTCGAACAAATAAATTCTATATTTTCCTACAATGTAAGAAATTTTCTATATCAATGATTGATTGACAATTGAAAATAAAAAGTAGCTAATTGATGTAAATATCAACAACTCAAAAATAACACACTGGAAATGTTCATTTGTAAAATACTGATAGCAAACAATTTATTCAATTACTGTACATCCTGAAATGCTTTGTGTGATAATTTTTCACTATATTCTAGGTAGGCATTTTAATACATAATTTACCAAATGTGAACAATGACAACAGCAAATATTTAACTGACCCTTCTGAGATCAAAACTGTGAACAAAACCCGACATGAAAATACCTAAATATATGGTATATCTTAAAATCCTATTCTGATGCATTTCCTTACAAATGACATAATCATTTATAATAAAAAAAACAACTTTACTTTTAGTTTCTTAGCAACAAAAACCCAAAGGTGTTGGCTTTATTAGGAAGTGGTGTCCAGGCAAGGTCACATTACCAAGCACTATCTACACTGTACAAATTTGAGGAGGTGAGATTTGTCACGTAAATACAATATATAGCTGACTCATATTGACTATGAATTATTGTTTGAAAGGTTACAGGAAAGTTTTACAAAGATTTTTATATATTAGCTATTTTTATTACCCTAACATATGAAGAACACATTATACGAAAGGGTTTCAGAGGAAATAAATATTTAAAAATTTTAAAATACTACCACCCACCCCAATTTTTTCTACAAGTAGGATAAAAACTACTTAACAATTCTTGTTGGCCTAAAATTACTATTTTATCATCTGCATTATTCAATTTTAGAGAAAAATTAGGAAGCCAGGTTTTCTAGGTAAGCATTTTTTTTTTAGTAAAATTGGTTATCTTTTCAAATGTTGAGTATCTATTGTCCTATAATTTAATTTAAATGTAACACGTCTTCTGATTGGCTGAAAAGTTTTTTTGTCTACCAGCTCAAAGACATAATTTTGTCATGTGACCGTGACATCATAAACGTTTTTTTTCATGATTTACTCCTTAAAATAGAATTTAAAATTAAATTATAAGGAATGACTGAAATATTTTTTCTGTTTATTCGAAATAACCTAAAAAAATGTGGTGCACACTTTTTAATAACACGCTACACGGGTTATTCAGTGTGAACCACATTTATGATGTTATTTCTTCATAGATAGAAAAAATATTAGTCATTCCATAATTACACCAAAACGATTTCTTATAGGAGTTATTGCCCTTTAATGATGAATTTTATGAAAGTGATTTCTTTTTTGTCTATTATCTTGAAAACTTTAATAGTTAGGTAGGAACTTTGAATTGCAAAAATTATCAGTAAGACAAGATATACAAATAAGTCTAATCTGGCCAAAATCCTCAGTCGACTCATTTATGACGTTATTGCCCTTTACTGACGATTTTTACCAACTTTATGTAGTTAAACTTATTATCTTGAAAACTATAACAGATAGATAGAAACTTTAAAGAGAAAAAATGATCCACAAATCAAGCTCTACAAATAAGTTAATGTTACTGAAATCATTGGTTCACTCTACATTGGCATTGGACTTAGTGCCCTTAATTGACAACTCTTACTGATTTATAATGTTTTTGCCTTTTATCTTTTACTATAATTGATAGATAGAACTTTTATAAGCAAAAATGATTAGCAAGACAGATCTGAAAATAAGTCAATATTGCTGAAATCTTCAGTTGACGCTTTATAGAAGTTAGTGCCATTAAACTACAATTTTTGCCAATTTTTTTTGCGCTTTTGCCTATTTTCTTAAAAGCTATAATAGATAGATAGATAGAAACTTTAAAGAGCAAAAATGATTAGTAAGACAAGATCTGCAAATAGGTCATCAAAGATGAAATTGTCAGATGTCTTCTTATAGGAGTTATTGCCCTTAATATTGATTTTTACCTTCTTTCGTGTTTTTTTGGCAAAACCTATAGAAGATAAAGAGGAACTTTGAACAGAAAAAAAATTATTAGCAATATCAGCAAAAAAAATATTTTTTTGTCATGAATTATATTCTAGTCTACAATGCTGGAGAGTTTACATTGTTGAAGTTGCACATAGACCTAGGTGAGCGATAAAGAACGAGGCACATAGACCTAGGTGAGCGACAAAGTCTTTGTTACTGCTTATTTTGTATTCTTTTATACATAAAAGTTGTAAGCTATGGTCACATTTCGATGTCCAAGTACAATATTTTTAAAATTACATTTCTGAATCTTTTTCTTTTCTGAATAAATGTTACATTTAAAAAATGATTTATCATCTATTAGATTAGGATATGGGGCAGAACCAAAACTAATGTTGAACTTCTTGCAAGTGAATTGAATGGAATAGCCTGCCAAACAGCAGAGGATGCGGTGAAAGAAGCAGATGTCATAGTAACAGTTACTTCATCAACCATACCTATACTGAAAAAGGAATGGGTAAAACCAGGAGCCCATATAAATGGTATGTTATGTATAACTCATTTTCTTGACCCTTTCTTATCAAGGCTTTTGGAAAATTAACAAGGATATTAATGAGGACATTTTTGGTAACCAAGTGTTAAGATAATAGTGTTAATGGTAGGTCATTTTCAGGCTGAAAATTTCAGCAGAAGAAATGTAAGTTTGAAAGCTAAAAAAAATGTTTATTCTGATTGAAAAAAGACATTGACAACACAAAACAAGTGTACAAACATAACAAACAAAAGTAAAGACTAACTTTTGCAACAGGAAAACAAAGAAAGAGTCATACAGCAGTAGCTTAACTTCTGAGTAAATGTGAAATACAATTCTTTCACCATGTAAAACTATCCTCACTTTAAATATTTATTTTGATATGTGTTTTAAAGCTGTTGGAGCCTGTAGACCAGACTGGCAGGAAATAGACCCAGAATTGATGAGATCAGTTTCTCTGTTTGTTGATAGTAGAGATGCAGCATTAACAGAAAGTGGAGATGTCATACTGTCTAAGGTATCATGGTTTAGTTTGGTGCTCTTTATTTGTATTTTTACTGCAGCTGGAACACTTCCTGTTGTTGTTATTACTTGAATAAGTAACAAAGTGATATTTTGTACTATGTGAATTTCATGTAACAATGTTTTTCCTTCACACTCAGCTGCTCATATAGGTGTGGAAAATAATTTTATTTTTGTGTTTATAATATTTTGACTGCAGTGTAAAAACAATATTAGATCAATGTCAGAAAAATGTAAATTTTTGTAATCAGCATTGTTGAATGACTTTGTAAACCTTGTTCTACCCTAGTTTCTAAGCCTCATTAAAACAGTTGATATTATTCTGACATTGACCAGAAATTTCTATATAGTTTTCATGCAGTTTGGGAAATATAACTCACATAGTTTACATGGTCAAAATAGTTTTTAAGTGCATTTTTCTGTAATTTGATCAAGCATTTGCCAAGAGTCTGAAATGGTAGGTATGATACTGAAGTCATGATTATCTTTCTAATTGGGGAATAAAAGCATTTGTAGAGAATTTCCTGAGTTATCTCCCCTTAAGTGTATTTTGGGATGTTTTTTAAAATATTTTTTAGAAATAAAAGTGTACAGAAATATAAGTTGGTTTGGAAGGAAACTCCTGTCAACATATTGCTTTTATCATATTACATAGAGGACAAATTGAAAATATTAGGAATAAAGCAGACTATGTATACTTTCAGGCTGACATTGAAGCAGAAGTCGGTGAAGTCATTCTGGGTAAAAATGGTGGAAGAAAAACCGCAACAGACGTGACCTTGTTTAAATCATTAGGTAAAAGATCACAATATAGTCCTTAAAAGTTCATATAGACTAATTGAGCTATGCAAAATATATTTTAAAAAGTTTAATCATGTTGTCGGTGACCGTTGTGCATAAAACTAAAACATTGATATACAAAACTAGATTAATTAATTAAGTTCAAATATTTAAAGAAAAAAATTAGCATACAATGTGTATCTTGCTTAATGGATGGTTGCCGTTGCAGAAAAAGAACAGTCTCCCATTACAAAATGTTACAATGACCTACAGTTCATACTTTATTGATTTAGTTCATGGCCATTCTCTCATATTAATTGATCCTCCTCATACAGTTTCTTTTATGGATTTAACTGAAGGTGTGTAGTGTGTATAGTGGCCTTCTAAGAAAAGTAGGTCACTGTAAAGGACTTTTTTTGCTTAAGTGACTGGTTAGATTTTACATCTCAGTTTATTTCTCCTCTGCATTAAGATTTTCAATTATGGAACTAAATATTTTGATATAACTGTTGTTTAATAAAAATAAGAAGATGTGGTATGAGTGCAGATGAGACAACTCTCCATCCAAGTCACAATGTGTAAAAAGTAAACAATTATAGGTCAAAGTACGGCCTTCAACACGGAGCCTTGGCTCACACCGAACAGCATGCTATAAAGGGCCCCAAAAAGACTAGTGTAAAACAATTCAAACAGGAAAATCAATGGTCTAATTTATATAAAAAACGAGAAATGAGAAACACTTATGAACCACATCAACAACCACTGAACAACAGGCTCCTGACTAAGGTTAGTTTATCTCCATTGAAGTAGGGTTGATATGACAGCCTTTTCATTATAGAGTAACTTTTACTTCTATACCAGTTACAAATGTTTTTATAAGGTTTACAAAAAGTAGATATTTGTTTCCATATATATAAGTTCTTATGTAAGAAAATACAAGTTTCAGTATAAAATAAGGAGAAATGGTATGATTGCCAATCAGATAACTATCCACCAGAGACCAAATGATGTAGATGTTAGGAACTATAGGTCACTGTACTTCCTTCAACATTGAGCAAAACCCAATTCCCCATAGCAAGCTATAAAAGGCAACATAAGAAAAATTCAAACAATTCAAACAAGAAAACCAATGGCCTGATCTATGTACAAAACAACAAACGAAAAAAAAATTACGATATATGGCAACAAACAACAACCACTGAGGCTCCTGTTCAGTTTATTCCATTTGATTACTTTTGATTTTTTTTGTGTCCTAGTGGAGGGTATATAGGGATTATTTCTGACAAATTGATTATAGTTCTATATTTACTTGTGACAAGTGAGATTTGTGACGCTTATAATTGATATTTTTTTATCTGTTCATTTTTCCACACCAAGATGCATATTTTTTCAATTGCAATTATTTCACAAAATACTTTATAAAATTTATGTATAAATACAATTTGATAATCATATGCATGTGTTAAAATATTTTTATTTTTATAGGTCTTGCCATTGAAGATGCCTTGTCTGCCAAGCTTGTGTGTGATCTTCTAAGCTCTTCTAATTCATCATGAAGTTCTTCTTTAACAAATAAAGAAGCTTATTTTACTTTCCAATCCCGGTGTAGCCAGATTTTTTATAAGATTTTATCATTTATAAATGAGAAGCATAAAAAAGGAATTGATTTTATGATTTTCAATTGGAGATTAAGAACTTTTCTGTTGGAGTTTGAGATGCTCAGTAAACAATATGCATGATTTTGTGAATATAGTACTGATATATAATGTATGATGAAAAATGTCAATATGGAGATTTTTACCAACAAACTAGAGGTTCACATAAATACTACAAAAACAACTTTAGGAACAATTTCAAAAATGTTTATTTTGGGTATAAATTTGTTTTAATGGCATGAGGTGTCAAAATATTTTTTAGTGTATTTATATTATTTTGTAAAAGCTTTAAAGAAGGCAAATTTTCATATAGATAACTTTATATTAAAGTAGTTAGTTAAGAAATTTTTCAGTATGGATCCATGGGACCTCAGTTGCAGAGAGGAGCGGTTTTAAGTAGTTCAAGATAGTGATAACTAGCCTATCAACTCTAAGGTTGCTTATCCGAACCCCCCTCATGTCCAGGAGTATTTGACAATATCAAAATTCAACACATGCCTTACCCTTTACAAAAGATAATAGAAAAAAGGGAAATCTAAAAATTCTGTGAAAATTTAAGACTATTAAAATCAGTTATTCTGTTGAAAAAGAAACAACTATATTGGAACTCAAACTCCATTTTAAAGTCTTCATACATGAATACAGTGAATACATAACCAGAAATTAACTAGACACCTACATTCTGATCAATGTATGAATATTGTAAATTTTAACTGTATATTGTTTTTGATATCATTTTTTCGTTATTGCAAGCAATTATTTATAAAGAGTTGTATTTTGGATGCATAACTTTTGTGTAATTTTATGATAGCCATAATTTATTTGATTATATTGGATTGGGAAAGCTGATTTCACAACATCACTGTTAACTGTACACTATTTTGTTTAAATTCAAGAGGTGCATTTATAAGTGCTAATTTTTCAAATAAAATTACATGTTATTACATGTATACTATTTTTTTAGTTCAGTGCTAATTAGTCAAAACAAATTACGGGATAATACTCCTTTTTGCACCACAAAGGCAACAACATGTTGATGATTGCAAATATTATTAAATGATTAAAGGAGATAAATAATTAAATTATGATTTAATCAATATGCTCATTGCAAAATACAATTGTGTATCTGTAGGAAGATTTCCACTGAAGAAGGCCTTAGAGGCCTAAATAATATGGGACAAGGTTTATAATGTAACAAGGTGACTGTTCTCTTAAGGTAAATTTTAAACAAAGAAGACTAAATTATTCATATTGATATAAAGATATAATTTGTGATAAAATAATTTTATAATAAATGATATAATAGATTAATGTTTGTTCTTGGAATTGGTCCTAACAGATGTGATATTTTAATATGTACTTGTATACAGGGGAGATTTATTATTGTTGTTATTTTGCCTTGCCTGCGACTTTCCTGGCAGAATGCAAGACATAAGGATTACAATCCTGTGGCGGTGGCGACAGCATACACTACTTTTATAAAGCTTTATATTTTAGAAGGTATAAGACCTGTATTTCTTGTATGGAGATATCTTATGTTATGCAGTTTCCATCTGTCATATATAAATTGTCCTTGACCTCATTTTCATGGTTCAGTGACTGCTTAAAAAAACATGAAGTTATTTTGTCATGTGGAATACTCACTTATTATGGACCTGACCTCAACCCCATTTCATGAATCAGTGATCAAGGTTAATTTTTGCCTTCAAGTCCTTTAAATATGTCAGATACTATGAGCAATAGGTCAACTATATTTGGTGAACTGAATGATTGTAAGGTGTACATGTCGGACTTGGCAGTTTTCGTCTGAACATGACCTTTTTATCATGGTTCATTGGACAATGTTATGTTTTTTTTTCACAGATACTATAAGCAATAGGGTCACTATGTTTGTCGTATGGAATAATTGTAATGTGTACATGTCTGTCTGGAAGTTTCATATGACCTTGACCTACTTTTCATGGTTTTGTCAGTTTATCCGATACTATAAGCAAAAGGTAAACTATATTTGATGTATGGAATGCTTATGAGATGTACATGACATGTCATGTCTGTCTGGCAGGGTTCATATGACCTTGAATTCATTTACCAAGTTCATTGGTCAATGTCAAGTGTTTGTGTTTTGGTCTGTTTCTCAGGTACTACATGTATAAGCAAACAGGCCACAATGATTGTTAGGTGTATTTCATGGATCAGTGATCAAGGTTAAGTTTTGTGGTCAAGTCTGTATGTCAGGTACTATATTTGGTGAATTGAATGATTGTGATGTGTACCTGTGGGACTTTGCAGGTTTTATCTGACCTTGACCTTTTTTCATGGTTCATTGGACAATTTTTTCTCGTTTGGTCTATTTCTCAGATACTGCAACCAATATGGAATGATCGTATGGTTTATATGTCAGTGTGACATGGTTCATCTGACCTTGACCTCATTAGTCAATGTTTAGTTTGCATAGTTGGGTCCTTTTCTCAGATATTATAAGCAATAGGTCAGCTTTAATTGATGTATGGAATAATTACATATTGAACATGTTAACTGGCAGGGTTTCATCTGTCCATGAACTCTTTTTTATGGGTCATTCTGATTAACTGTTCATTATTCACCAAATTTGGCTAATTCTATATCCATAGAACCAGTAACTATGTAATTAGAATAAATCAATTGGTTGCTGCCAGCCTAATATCCATCATATGTAATCACAATGACTTACCTTTTAGTCCTTTTTGCATTTGCTGTTGCACAAGACTTAGTAAGAATTAGCAATTGTGACCCCAAATTATTCTTTGGAAAAATTGACAATTTCTTAAATTTTGAAGAAAAAAAATTGACCGCCCCCCCCCCCCCCCCCCCCCCCCTCCCCTTTTTCCAAAAATAAATATTTGAAGAAATCTTCTTGTTAATTTTAAAATCTTGAGGATAAAAAATTGTCCCCCCCCCCAAATTTTTTTTTACCCCCCCCCCTTTTTCAAAAAAAAAATAACATTAGAAGAAAATTTTCTTTTTGTAAAATGTGGTACATTTTAAGAGACATCAATACACTTAAACACAAGTTATTGTCTGAAAACTAGAAAAATGCTTGTTTTAGACCCTTTTTGGCCCCTAATTCCTGAACGGTTTGGACAATTACCCCCAAAATAAATCCCAACCTTCGACTTGTGGTATTAAACATTATGGTACAATTTCAGAGCATTCAATATACTTCTACACAAGTTATTGTCCTGTAACTAGAAAAATGCTTGTTTTGGGCCCCTTTTTGGCCCCTAATTCCTAAACGGTTGGGACCATCACCCCCAAAAACAATCCCAACCTTTCTTTAGTGGTATTGATAAAGTGGTAAAATTTCAGAGAGATCCATACACTTAAACTTAAGTTATTGTCTGGAAACCAAATGTCTTCGGAGGACGATGACATGATAGCAATATACGACCCCAAAAATTTTTTGCGGTTGTATAAAAAGAGCTCATCGTTATGTTATTTGAATATTCGAATGTTTCTTGAAATCCTTACATATTTACCCCAGTTATTGCTGAACTGTCCAAACCTTATCAGTTGTATTCCATGTATTTGCAGTCATTGTCCGACTGTTATTCATGTACATTACTTTGAAGTATGTTTTTTGTGTACCTTACTTTGAAGTCTGTTTTTTTGTGTTATCATATTACATGTATTAATTCATATCCCAATTTTATCAGTTAAATAGCATTTGAATTAATAAATGATCCAGTTATAGCAAAGGTAATGATACCTCATAACCCTATTAATATGTTTATTGGCTTTATCTTTAAATTATATGTACAATAAAGGGACTGCTCCATTGATGAAAACCATTTTGACCTCTCAATGTCTTTTGATTTTTTTTGTTTAGTTGTTGTTTCGTTGAAATATACCACAGGTATATATGACACGATCACTGAACAGTAAACTGAGGTCACAATTTATATAATTCCTGATCATATTTTTAATTAATTTCATATTGACATCATGTCATTTACCACCTACATGAACAGCTCAACTAAAACAAAACTTCTGTACAAAACAACATTTTTCTTTTTCAATATTAAGTAAAGCTATGCCAATTATCTGGAGCTTCCTGATGAAATTGATGCGGTTCTTCCAGGTCCATGTGCAGTTCACTGGAAGTCTGCATGGGAGGTAAATTGCAACACACTTCAAAGTTCAAACATAAAATACATTATCCTTCCAAAACATCAAAAGGTCTTCCCACAAAGCTGATATCTACAGGAACTTTTACTGTGTTTATATGAATGTTGCAGTTGTGATGTGTTGAGAACAAATTCCATTTTGTATTGGCATGTCCAGCATACAGAATAATCGGAAATAACTTTTTGCCACTTTATTATTGTTCTTGGCTGAATACTTTTAAACTGTCATATTTTTTTAAAGCTACTTATAGATCGCTTACAATTAAACTCTGTAACTATTTGAAGAATGGATGAAAAGCTAGATCTGATATTATTGGTTAGTTATATTATCATTGTATTGTTCTCTGCTATCAGTCTTTTGTCACATTGTGTATATATTATATATTGCCATATCATGTCATGTATGCTCTTGCAATACAATATTCATTCATTCATACATTCAACTGTTCCTTTTTACAGTGGCTACTCAATTGATGAGATTTCTAAAATACAAATGATGACCATTGTGCAAACAATGTAAGGAATAAAACTACTAACAAAGAAGTAAATTCTTATATTTTAATTTATATTCAATATGATATGATCACTCTTCTGTAGACAATATTAAAACATATGTAGCACCATGAATTACAAAGTAAGATCCACATTTGATTGGACCAGAGAAGGAACATTGTTATGACAACATTTCATAATATATCTAATCACAGTCTTGCTTTTATCTTTAAATATAAATATCATTCTTTGGTTAAGATTAAAATCATGATTCTATTTAATAAAATAATTTCATTTCAATATAATTTTTAATAATATTTAATAGCTAAAATGTTTTTTTTGGCAAGAATATAAGAAAAATATAAAGACTCCCTTTAAAAAATGTTCTTAGAATTATAATGATTAAGATATACATAAATATAGAAATGTTTTAACTATAAACTATCAATTGATCATGAAAATACCACATGTTCTGTAGACAAGTCGAGTATTGTATTCAATATCAAATATTTCTTGGTTTTGTTCAGAAGTTTCAATAAGCAGTTCATATGGCACTATAAACAGTTATCCACAGAATAATAAATAAGATGAATCACAAATTTCACTGTCATTGGTTCATTTTTCACAGTAGCTGATATTCTCTGTGTTTTGTTCAAAGATTAAAGAAAAGAAAAGAAAGATTGACATAGAAAAGGAACTACAAAAATTTGTCTTTTAAAGCATGTAAGATCAACTATAAAAAGTCAAACAAACAACAAACAGCTTAACTAACGACGATTAATAACAGCACTAAAATTGCAACAAATATTGACCTAATTGATATCTTCCATTAACTGCAAGAAAGCCCCCTGTCAATGTATATTTGTTCCGCCTAACAGAAGTTCCTCTAGAAACTTTATTATAAACAATGTCATAATATCTATTCCTGTTGGAACAAATATTCTATACCATTTATTCCGTTAGGAACATATACTGTAATATTTATTCCTGTGGAAATAATATTCCAAATTTTTTTTTCCTTTTGGAACTTATACTATGAAGGAACTTCTATTCCGTGACACCCCTCTCTCTCTGTGTCTGACCTTTAGTTTAAGATATTATTTCAATTAAAAAATTTGCTTTATTTAGTTTTACGTTATTGTAGAATTTTTGCATTTCCTATACATTGCAGTAATCAAATAAAATTCATCAGAAATACATAATAATAGTGGAAAAATACACATTTGGCTTTTGACCTTAGGGAGGGTTCTCACTTGCAGTGTTAAGAAGTTGAGTATGACAAGCCTCTGAAAATACAGGCATAAATTTAAATATCAAAACTTTGCTTAAAATAAAGAGCTAAAATAAAAAGCTAGCGAAAATAATTGTCCATCAAAATGTAACTTTTAACCAAGATGCTACATTGAAAGTGGTTATTTATTCGAAAGGTGCAAAGTAAGCTAGACAGAAATTATAAATTAATTCAGTGAAAGAGATCAAGAACAAATCCAAACTCTTTCAAATCCTTGGAATGAAATCTATTATTTCTAGCAGTAAAGCAGTTAACCAAATAAACCATCAGCACCTGAAACAAAAAATGAAAAATATTAGTATTAAATGTACCGGTTTGTACTTTTTCATTCAATAACGAACACAGAATTTGTAGATACTAGGTCACGGACATAATTCCTGCATACTTAATTTAAAAAACTCATCAAGGATACCAGGCTTATAATTTTGTACGCCGGACACACATTTCTTCTACAAAAGACTCATCAGTGATGCTCAAATCAAAAAAGTTAAAAGGCCAAATAAAGTATGCAATTGAAGAGCATTGAGGACCCTGAATTCCGAAAAGGATTTGCATATTACAGTATGGTATAAGTATTTCGAACAACTCAACTGTCTTTTCTTAGGACTTAATGTTAATAAATTATTTTTTCTTTTTGAAATCTTTACCCACCCCTTCCCTTTATTTCCCTATTTTTGTTTAAACTTTTACCCCTAAGTTATTTTCAACTTTTTCTGTCAGATTAACAGATATTCATTTTATAACCCATCATCTTTCTATCTAGTAATTGGTTCACTTTTTGTGAAAAATCTGTCGAATCTTCTTTTTTTCAACATTTGTTGAAAAATCATTAGAAAATGTTTTGCAAAGGTTATCAAATATTTTTTTTTATCCATAAATCTTGGAAAATGGGAACTCTATGAAATTTTAAGTTTTTCTCAATAATTTCTCAATGCTTTAAACATAAATAGTAAATATAGATATTTAAACTACCAATGCAGTTGGATCAGAGAAGAGTAAATCAATGCATTAAAGCCAAACTCATACAATTGTTTCATAATATATGATCATATATCTTGTTACAAATCAGTTCAGTTTGAATTTAACCTAGAGCTATCAAAATAGTTTAGGTTTTGAACGAAATATTGCTCAGGTGCAATAACTGATTGAAAAAGGCCAGAGTTAAACAACATGGTCTATTACCCTGATTTTATTGTTTTAACAAATTTTATTGAATTCTATAAAATATCATGCATCAAGAAAAATGAATTCTCATGCAGGCATTAAATAAATTCACACTAGTTATAATAAAAGCATTTGTAGCAAGTGAATATAAAAGTATTTATATCTTACTATAGCTAGCCCCAATATAAAATTATGTTCTATTTTTGTTCTGTTTAAATCATTTCATGAAATCCATAAAAATAGGTTTCTATTGTTTACAATCATGCTATGAAATCAAAGCTTCAAACACGATGAATTGGATTAAAACTAAGGGTTTGTTTTTGGTCCTAGGATAATGATATGTTGTCTTTAAACATCAAACTGTTTAGTCATGAACTACAGATAACAAGGGCAGCATTCTATGTAGTGTATGCCCGCAAAGCCAATATAAGGTGACCTTGATTTCATCTATGACCTTGATATTAAGAAAATAAATAGGCTTAAAAATCCACAGAAACTGAAATTATCATGAAACTCCATAAAGTTAATAGGCGATTTATTTAGTCCACTTTTACTTGGAACTTGTTAAAACTTATTTCTTTTTATTTATTTGACATCTGAAACGCCTTTCAGAACCCTTTCAGAATATCCTATCAACATGCAGATCTAACAATGTTCTAAGTTTTATGTACACTTTTGTAGATACAATAAACCATGTAGGAGAGGTTGCAATCACTAGGTCGGTACTAAAAAGGGTTACAATTTTCTTTAAGGTGAAAGAGTCATATCTGGATAACCTAAACACTCAAACTTGGTTTGTGGGAAAGGAGAGGGGTAAAATAACAGCAGAAATATATGGCATTTACATAATTCACTTATTTTACTTTAGTAATAAATCAGCAGAGTAGTGGTTATAACAAACAAGGTCTATTAGATTGCACACACATGCATTCATTACCATTTATGGATAAAATGTGGATCTTTACCTGAAAGTGAAGTAACATTAAGTCTTATAGATTTTTCTCATTTATCATGCTTTTGCTATGTATTTTTGCTCAAATATTTTTTAACATGAAAAGAACTATATGTTCTTTATATGCAAGTCAGGAGCCTGTTGTTCAGTGGTTGTCGTTGGTTCATGTCTGTCATATTTGGTTTTTTTTGTAAATTGTTTTGTTATAAATTAGGCTGTTAGTTTTCTCAATTGAATTGTTTCATATTTTTCATGTCGGGGCCTTTAATAGCCGACTATACGGTATGGGTTTTTTTCATTGTTGAAGGCCGTACAGTTGCCTATAATTGCTTACATCCACTTCATTTGAACTTTGATGGATAGTTGTCTCATTAGCAATCATACCATATCTTCTTATTTTTATATATATCTCATTCACATTGACTTTCAAGAGATATTATAATTACTCAATAGTAAATTATAAAATAATTAATTTGATATCTGTAGTTTAGTAGAATCTGTTTCCACACATACTTTAGACAATCACACTACCAAAAGACCACCAAGGCAGTAAGAGGCTACAAGAAACCTGAACTGTTATCCTCGTCTTTGGCATCTTTGCCTGCTTGATTCTTTGATGTAAAACTTGCCATTAATTTAATATACTTACTTCGAAACTTTAAAGAATTTTTTAGGTTTGTGAAACCAATGTACTTCAAAAAATTTGGATTTTGATTTGCGTTTTTCTTCTGACGATGACGAAGGTTCACCTTCAGATCCTGAGGATAATGGTCTTGGACTTTTTCCTGAGTAGCCTGAATCTGCCTCACTATCCTTTCTGCACTGAATTTGTTCTGAGGCTTGTAAGGACAAACCAAGGTCAAATGATAACATACTTTGTTGACAAAGAGCCCCAATGGTCTCTTTTTTCACTTTACCAGGTTTTTGTCCTATATGAAGTTTAACTTCTGTTGAATGTTTTGAGCTTGATGCTTGAGATGATGAAGGTGAACCCTCATGATGACGGAAAATTTGCTGAGATGTACTTTTACCTTGTTTCCAAGGTGTTATGGTCACAAGCACTTCTTGTTTCTCCATCGGACTTTTAACCCCCTGATCTGCAGCAGAATCACAAGTTGTAGTAGTTGCTGCCCTTTCCCTGTAAGATTGCTGGAGATCAGTGGGGTCCTCTTCCTGCACAGTCAGAAGAGGCATGGAGGAATAATTTATTGAAGAACTACCGGAAGGCCCCGGATGATAAGTTATTTCTGTGGCACCGGTGATACTAGTCAATGTTGATGTAGATGAAGATGAATCATATGTGACACTTTGAGAAGTTCGATCTTTGGATTTAGAAGTCACTATTTGTGATTTATGAGGAGACTCTGAATCAGATAAAGCACGTTCTGGTGTATTCCGAGCACTACCACTGTCAAACACTTCGGCTAACTTTTTCACTTTTTTAGGAATTCCATTTGTGACATCTTTCAATGGAGATGATTGTGATCGGGTTTGGTCGGCAGGAGAAGATAGTTTTTTCACAATTTGTTGAACAAATTCTGATCTTCCCTGGGGCGAGTCTGAACGATATGAGACATAATGTTTAGGAGTAGAATCCCCTGTTACTAGTATATCAGGTGTGCCTTCACGAGATAATCTTTTCACTATTGCCTGGACATAGCCTTCAGCAATATTTTCCTTGTCGTGACTTTTCTGTCTTTCCATTAGAAATTTCCTCGATTCATCAGTCTTATATTTTTGAAGGATTCTACTCATATAAGCGGAATGACCCTTCCTGTAACGTTTACTTTCTTCCAAGAGTTCATCAGCTGGTTTGATTCGATGTCCTGTATATGAGACAGTTCTGACCTTAGGCCAGTTAAAAGTTTTATCTGAAACTGGTGCAGACGTGTTCCTGGGAGATGTAGGAGATGTTCTCTGTAATGTTTTATGAAACAGTTTAGGTGATAGTGTAATGGTTTCCCTATGTATTTCCTGATGAGCATCATGTGATGGTAGATCATCAGAAAGTTTTGTAACTCTGACAGGAATCATCATTCTTTTATACTCTGTTGGTGTGCCCTCAACAAAAACACTATCGCTACCAACAGATATATCACTTTCACGTTTGACTTTGGTTTCATCCTTCGCTTCTTTTCCAGCATGAATCTGAAGCTCTAGTTCAGACAGTTCCATACTATTTTCTTTTTCCAATTTTCCTTTTGACTTCGATGGCATTCGAGGAATAAGAAGTTCTGGAAATTTGGCTTCTGATTTGTGAACTTTAGGTTCAGATTCAACTTTCCTGCTAGAATCATCACTTTCCTCCTGCCGAGTACTTCTTGGCACATTTAACTCCTGTTGTGAGATATCACGAGGTAGATTAATGTTTGCAGTGGGTAATTTAATTGTCAACGATATTTCCACACCTTTCTCTCCTTTCATTACTTGTCTATCCCTAACATTATCGGGAAGGATACGAACAGCGTCTTCCTGTTCTTGATCCATAAACGGAATTTCCAAAGATAATTCTTTATGTAATTGTGCTTGATGTTGTTTATGCTGTTTTCGCATCGGTAAATAAATACAACTTTTATGTTGGATTTCTATTGGAGATTCTGGAGGTTCAACTGATTGAAAATCTAAAGTTTCTTTATGTTGTTCATCTGAAAGTACGGACAAGTTATTATTAGAAAACAATAAACTGTTATCACAAAGATATGTCTCGCCTTTTTGTAATTTTGATAATGGAAATGTTGAAATTAAAATTGCAATACTTTAACATGTAAGTAATGCAAATATTCAAAGTCGATGAACCATGACTGAAGGTACATGGCTAAACAATCTCCATGGAATGAGATGTGCCAATGCTAATACAACTGCATACCAAATAGCATTGACTTATAATTATAAGTTGTTCCCTTTAAACAAACCTAAACACAAACATTAACTTGTAAACTATGTAAAAAATTCAAAGTCAATGAACCATGATCAGGGGTGGGGCTATATAATCTCCATGGAAACAATACTTGCAAATGCCAATAAATTTGCATACCAAATATCAATGACTTAACATTAGCAGTTCATCTTAAACTGATCTAATCACAAACTAATACATGTAAACTAAGCAAAAGTTTCAAAGTAAATAGACCATGACTGAGGGGGCGAGGCCAAATATTCTCCATGGAAATGAGATGTGCTAATGCTTATACAACTGAACACCAATTAACATTAGCCTACCACTAATGGTTCCCCTTGAACTGACCTAATCACAAACTAATACATGTAAACTTAGCAAAATTTTCAAAGTCTATAGACCATGACTAAGGGGGCGGAGCCAAATAATCTCCATGGAAATGAGATATGCCCATGCTTATACAACTGCATACCAAATATCATTGACCTACCACTAGTGGTTCCCCATAAATTGACCTAATCACAAACTAATACATGTTAACTATGAAAAGTTTCAAAGTCAATAGACCTTGACTGAGGGGGCAGGGCCAAATAATATCCATGGTAATGAGATGTGCCAATGCTAATACAACTGCATACCAAATATCATTGACCTACCACTAGTGGTTCACCATGAACTAGACCTAATCACAAACTAATACATTGTTGACGCCTCCGAAGCCCGAAACAGCATACCTATGTCTTGCTTTTTGACTCCGTCAAGGCGAGACAAAAACCTTTTGCTGATAAAGAAAGTCCTATAATATATTTGTATATTTGGATTGTTTTCATCTTTTGTCTTATTGAATACTTGCATTATATAGATCGGAGAAAAATACCACTTCAGGGTCAATAAACAATATACAGTTTATTTTCAATATCTATCTATCTATGCACATTTTTAGACAAACCTAATCAGATTTCTAGTTGGTTAAATTAAAACTGTCTCAAAAGATCCTAAATAGTACAGTGTTTCTAAGACTTTTTTTCAAAATCAAATTTCAAATGTTGATCCAACTTTTATATCTTTTTCTTGTCCTATTGTTGACAACAATTTTTTACAAAACTAAAATCTTTATAAATAAAAGGGGATTAACAGCTATATTCTCAAAGAACTAGCAACATATCATCAATACAAAACAAAAAGACATCTAAATGTTAACATAGCGTTTCCAATAATAGAGACATGTCAATCGTATACATGTAAAACTTTTACTGTGGATACATTATTGTTTCTGGGATACCAATCTTTCATGGGTATAGGTGAAACATGAATTTAAATGATCAACAAAGTACAAAATCTATATAAGCTTACATGCAAACTTTGATATAACCATGAAATCTAATATCCAAGAAAATACAACTGTTCCACATTCCACAAAAATAAATGAATCCACAATTCCTTAATGGACAACAACATTAATGATATAAACAAAGACAACTACTAACAAGATCATAACTTGGGATTGGCACAAATACATGTCATGGGGTTACACTACACTACTTTTCTTTACTTCACCCAAATGTTATTTTATGTGTTCTGCTGTAGCAGTAAATAACAATAAGTTACCTGAGTCTGGAGTGTCCATTACATCATCTGATTCTATGGTTGGTTGGGTGGGCTCTTTCCGGCCTTTGGCAAATCTTTTGTAAGGTGGAATACATTCAGCTTCTTGGCCTTCGACCTGAAATTAATATTTACATAAAAAATATTTTTTTAACAACATTCAACAATTTATTTCCATTTCAACTCTTAGCTTGGTTTGTGGTATGATTGATTTATTGTTGTTAGCTTAATGTCCAGTGGCAAATATTTCATGCATATAATAATATTTTATTTATACAGTGAACTCTGTACATCCTTTAATTTAAAGTGTTTTGTCTTTTTTTAATATTGTATAAAATGTTGTGTAATGAAAAGCTTACCAAACAATACACTTCAATTTTTTTCTGCTATATATTTTTTACATTCTTAAACTTATCTATGTACAACAATATTATTTACTCAACAATGAAATAGCAGCACTAAATTTGAATTTTTTTTTTTCTTTTTGACAATGAAACATAGTAGAAACCTTTAATAGTATGATGACATTTTGCAGTACCAATATAAGATAAGAGATATGGTATGATTGTCAATCAGTCAACTATCCAAAACAGACCAAACATTTATCAGTCACCTACCATAGCTCTCGACAATTAGCAAAACCCATACCTTATAGTAAGCTATAAAAAACCCAGACTACAATCAACAACCAAATACATATTTATATTTTATTATAAGAAAAAAATTGACTAGCTGATTAAGAAAATTTAAGGAAAGAGTATTTTAATCTAAATAAATGAAGAATGTGTCCATAGGACACAGATGATGCCCCTGCTTGCATATAACGTTAAATAGGGGCATAACTCCAGAACGGTAAAAGTGGCACCACCCAAATTCGAACTTGACCTAAGTTTTGTGGTAATAAGCATTGTGTATAAGTTTTATAACATTTGGATGAGGCAAACTAAAGTTAGAGAACAGAAACCAATTTCCAGATGGATGTACAGACAAGGGTAAACCTTAATGCCCCCTCCGCTACGGGGGCATAAAAATAACCTTTTCAAATCTGTATCAAAGTAAAATCAACACCCAGGTTCCAGATTAAAATATTGAAATTCAGGACAAGGAAAAGACAATGGTAAATCTTTGTTCCTAATGTACATACCTCATACCCCTTTCATTTTTTAATATCTGAATTACTGCTTTCATTTAAACAAAATCATTTACAAATTTTCAATTGTTTATAGGGATCAACTACAGATGATAGATGAAAATAACAGAAAACAAAATTCTAAAAAACCCCTATATGCGCAATAATTCAAATGAATTTTTATGCATCAATGTGCAGTCAATTAAAGAAAATGTTTGTCATGTTTCAGCATACTAAATTTTAGAAAGAGTTTTTTTTCTTGCAAAATATGTCGTGCCAAATTTTAAAAAGACTATCAACTAAGAACAATTAAACTTCTGATTTTAGTACAAAATTTCCAACATATCCTAAAAGAAACAAAAATTGTGATTTTAAACCTCTTAAATCCAAAAATAGTAGTAAAAACTGCCAAATTTGAATGAAAAAAAACTTTCATCAAAATTTGCTACAAACTGGTGGCTTAGTTTAAATTTTTTTTAAATTTTTACACAAACATTTATTATGTAGTGATTATACTTACATGAAGTTAGAGAAAGCTGTTTTCTCCTGATGCAGCAATAACAGAAACAACATATTTACAACTGTAAAATTTCTGCTTATTCATATTTATTATATGATAATTTGAATTTCAAACCTTTCCTTTGTTCAAAGAATTTTAAAAATAGCAATCATAATTTGAGTTGCTTCCCTTTCTATAGGAAGTTTTTCCTCTAATCACACAATATTACTAGTGTTAACTACCTTTAATACAAACGTTAACATTATTTTTTTATACTTTTGAAATTAGAAATACAGAAATCTATATTACTTGTTATAGAGAATATTTTCACAGTTTAGGTTAAAAAAAAAAATTCACAAAAACAAACAGTTTATATGGTTTACTTTTATAAATTTTGACTTGGATGGAGGGTTGTCTCATTGGCACTCATACCACATCTTCTTATATCTATAGACATTAATTAAAAGAACCTTTATACTTACAACTCTGCTTTCCATTCCTCCATAAGTATTCCACCTCTTGATTGGTGTACCTTTTCTTGCATGTTGTTTATGCCAATTGAGTTCCGTCTCGCGTCTAGCAATATCTGCTTGTAACAGCAAATTGTTAGCTTCCTGTAGCAACAACTGGCGCTTCATTGACACTATTTCTTTGTTTCTTTCAAGTTGACTCAAACGAAGATTTGTTAACTAGAAATATAAAATCATCTTCTATAGACTATGAAATGAAATCTGGATGCTAACAATGCATTGGAATATATTTGTTAATAAGATAAGATTTTTTTTTTTCATTTTGATTAGTGCATCTGAAGTATTTAACTAAAATTGTCAGATTTATTTATGAAAATTTAAGGATGATTTTTTAATTCTCCTTGAAATTTCTAGACAAAATAAATGTTCAGATCTGAAGTGAAATATCATATTCCTTTTTTTTTTTTAAATTGTTGAGAAAGGGCCTGATGTCTTATTTTTGAGGAAAACATCTTTTTTTTTAATAAAGTTAACAAAAAACTGTGCCTAGGAAAAATCCATATGCCATCCCCCCACAAAAGATAAATGATCATTGCTTAATTTGATGTTTCTTGAATACAATGATGCCCTTATAACATTCTCCCTTGACTGCAAGTAATTCAAATGAAGAAGATTGTCCAAATGAAAAAAAGTGCTATTTCTGGCTAATATTATATAATACCCTTAACAAATTAGTGACGTACGCATTGATATTGAAAAGCCCTTATTCAGATATAGATTTCAGTGGTCTGCTTATGTGTTATTCATTAATGTACTGTAAAGTAGTTGAAGAAAATATATGGCTTAATGCTGCAGATTTCACTGATATGATGATTTATTGATTGATTGTTGTTAAGTTAACACCGAGACTGATTATATAATGATAAAATTAACTTTCAGTACAGAATCAATATGGTCAATGTTTATTTTTTGCAGTAGGAAATAAATAATACAGCACAACCTATGTAGCAATAATCGTCATAACAGACCAATTTAAGTATTCTCCCTTGCATGTTTGAGGACTGAACATACAGATTTCATCATAACACAAAAGTTGTGAGACAATATAATAACTATTAGGATTTTTACATAATGTACATGTTAGTTTGAAATTTTGAAAACTACAATAAATAATTTTCATTTTAAAATCATAAATAATACTGTAGCGCTTTGTATACTTATGATTTTGCAGTAATATGCACTTGCTATTGAAGATAAATCTATTCCGTATATAAAGACATTTGCACCATAAGATGAGAACTCCTTTATACTTTTCATTCAATTAACTTGAACTATAGCATAGGTTCATATGGAACATTTGCTATCACAAGATTTTCATTTGACTATAGCATGTAAAAATGGTCTTTTTATGAAATAATTGCTTTATATGTAGAACAGAGCATTTCATGTCAAAACATAGTTACCATCAACATCATGGAATCAATGGCTTGATAATTCAATTTTGATAGTGATATATTTATTAACAATACTTTCAGTATTGTTTACGTCTGTAATCAAAACTCAATAATTTATATGCAATGTAGAAAGGATTGTTGAAGGTTCTTTTGATTTAATTACAACATTTCACCCTGCTTATGTACTTTCTTTTGAAGTCAGAAAAAGAATCAATGATTTCATGGTATTAATACATTTGTGTTGTTATTTTATATAACATTTTGTAATCAGGAAATACACTCTTTTATGAGATTTTATTTATTAAAAGTGAATTATTTACAAAAATAATGTAATTACTCTTTTGAAGCAACAGTAAAATTCTCCTATAACTGTTCAATAAAGGAACTTTCAGAAATTGAAAACTAGATCTGTGAATGAACTCACATACTATTAGTATATTACTAATATAAATAAATGGGGAAAGTGTCCATGGGACACAGATGATGCCCCTGCTTGCATATAACATTATAAAGGGACATAACTCAAGAACAGTAAAAGTTACACTACCCAAATTCGTATTTGATCTGAGTTTTGTGGTATTAAGCATTGTGTATAAGTTTCATAACATTTGGTTGAGGCAAACTTAAGTTAGAGAACGAAAACGAAAAATTCAGCAATTTTTCCAATTGTAAAGGGGCATAACTATAGAACGGTAAAAGTAACGCCAACAAAATTGCTACTTGATCTGTGTTTTGTGGTAATAAGCATTGTCTATAAGTTTCATAACATTTGGTTGAGGCAAACTAAAGTTAGAGAACGGAAACAAATTTCAGGACGTACAGACGGACAAGGATAAAAATTAATGCCCCCTCGGCGGGGGCATAATAAGATGTGGTATGAATGCCAATGAGACAACCATCCACTAGAGACAAAAGGACGAGGATGTAAACATCTATAGGGCATTCTACAGCCTTCAACAATGAGCAAAACCCGATAATGTATAATGAGCTATAAAAGGCCTGGCATGACAGAAAGACAGAGAGACGGAGGGACAGAAAGGCAACAGGGGCATTAACAATAAACAAGAATGCATAGGTAGCAGTGCTAAGCATATCCCCACTTGTAATTAAAAGTATTTATAAACAGGAAGAAGGCGTCTGACATATCCCAAATGCAATAACATTTCACAACTCATCAAAAGTTATTCTGTTCAATAGTACTGCAGTAATGTGTGATGAAATATTTTTAAGTTCATTCAAAATATTGAAAAATTCAAAGTATCAACAAACAGGGATAACGTCTGACAGACCCGAAAATTGCGCACACATTACAACTCATCACTGTCAAGCTGATGACCAAGTATGAAGTTATTCTGTTCAGCAATACTTGAGAATGGGGTGACAGAAATATTTGTAAGACAGACAGATAAGGTTACATTTTTCTACCACTTTCTACAATACCAATACCAACCTGAACCTGTAACTGCATGGCTTGGCTGTACAACTTTTCAAAAGTATAAAGTGCTGACGATTTCTGTGTTAATTCCTCTGTAAATGGATAAAAAAAAGAGTTAATAAAATCTTATATATAACTTAAAAAAATGAAAGAATACAGTATTTTAATCTGAAATATTTCAATACAAATTAAAACAATTGTTTAATCTCTAGTGAACAAGCCAAAATAGGGAGATTATGTAGTTAATGATAATAAATTTCTGCCTTAAGGAAAAGCCATTATATGGAGATAATATTCTTGTTTCCTCAATATTTTTTTTCAAGAAATTTGTTGTGTCTTATTATGCTGAATTGAAATCATTAAACCAACTATGAACAACCTTTACAGCTCTTTCACCATTTCTTCCAGATGCTTTCATCAGTGAAAATACATGTATTTAGGGGACAACCATTTGATAATGTTCTCATTAACTTCAAAGTTTCATGAAATCCTGTTCAGAGGAGTAGTGCTGACAAACTGTTGCAGTAGTATATTATGGCCAATATTCTAAATTCAAAGGGTCATAACTCCTAAAAAAAAATAATTAAAGCCCAATTTCCTGTTGATATGCACATCTACATAGTATGTCCTTTTTATCTTCAATGTTTCGTGAAATTCTGTTGTGTTGTGTTGTTATGAACAACAGGGCTGACGGACGGACTGACAGACGGACGGGTCAAAAACATTATACTCTATGCAACTTTGTTTAGTGGAGCATAATAAATGGCCAACAGTAATACATAATACATATATCATCAACAGGCCTATAACACAGATAAAAATGAATTATTAAAATAAAATCCAATGACAGATTTTATTTTGCGAAAAAAAATTTCGCCAAACCTGTTTGTGAAGCTTTATACAACATCAATCTCATTTTTTCTAAAAGTTCTACCAAACGTGTGGTGACCTTTTCTTCTCCTTCAATACTCTGCCATTTACACATCTGAAAAAAAATATTACAATTAGAATTTATAAGAATAACTAGAAGATACACCTTTTTAAGCTAATAGTTTTCATTGAAAACATAAACTTTCAGAATGTTCACTTTTTTTCTTGTTTTTTTCTTTCTTTTTTTTTTAAAATCTTTTTCAAAGTAATATGTCAGCCTTTGACAATAAAGCAGGAACCATGAATTGTTTGTCAATATTGATGAGATTTGTGATTTCTAGTCCAGGTACTTAATCTATGCTAAAGAAATTCATTTTATCTAGCAAACATAAAGTACCAGGGAAGATAAAATCAGACATTACACCATTCTTTTTTTTTAACGTCTGTGTTCTCGTGTTTTTGAACAACAGAAATGAATCTATGACAGTAAATAGAAATTCTACTCGGAAAGGTTGTAGAATATTTAAGCTTCAAATCTTAACAAATAACAGATCATAATTCAATTTTTCTTGTCATATAAAATGTGTCATTTCAAAATTTGGTGAAGCGTAAAATATTGCAACTAGGAGTGAAAATCCTGTATTGCTTTTTGGCCCGGTCCAACACAGCTTTTTCCCTGAATTGGACTGGACAGAAAAGCAATATTAACTCATGATTCATATCATCAGTGTGATGTCATCAGTATTGCAGATGCTGATTTTACCATATTAGGGTTGATTTGCTCATATCATTTTATAATATAGAGAAGAATTGTAGCAATGAATTATCACTAATATTCAACCATATGTCTTAAAGATATGAATGCAAGTTCATATTTTAATCTTGATAAAGTATGATCCATTCTACTTGCCATTTTCCCTAAAAGTACATGCAAGTCACTTGTAGTTATGAATTTGACTGTTGTGGAATTTGCACCTACATTTAAACCTGCTACATAAGGTCAACTGTATTAAGCGAAAACTTGTCTTGTCATGTCATCCTCTCCTACAGTGATAATATCTATGGATTTTGAACCTGAATTCAAAGGTCACCTCTCTTATAAGTCAGGTTTTCTTGTCAGTAGAGTGACCTTTATACACAAGTTTGACTAATTTAAATTGAACTTACGGCAGCACTTTCCATTTTTTGAGCTAAGTTGTCACCAAAACTCTGCAGCTCATGGATTTTAGATTCAAGCTCTGCAAGTTTGCTACTCATTTCTTGTGTTAATTTTGGCACCTGGACAGAGGTTCCACCTGCAAGAATTTCTTTCTTATATTGGTCTGTAGAAAGACACACATTTAAGAAACTATTAGTATATTAGTAAGGTGTTATAAAATAATGGTGCATCAAAAGTAAAAATATCAAGAATAAAAAGAGAATTTTAGCATAAAAAAGCAGATATATACAAAAATAGTGCAATTTCTAAGCTTGGTAAGTTGTGTTAGTAGTTAAAAGAATAAATAATGAAAAGCAAATAAAAAATAATATTCTAATCATCAATATTATTTCACATTCACAAGCAGCAAAACATTATAACAAACTGTTGTCACAGAGAAATGTCTCTTCTATATGTAATTTGATAGTAAAATATAAATACCGAAATTAAAATGGCAATACTTTGTAACCTGTTAGCTATGCAAAACATTCAGTCAATGAACCAGTACTGAAGGTGCAGGGTCAAATAATCTCTATAGAAAAGAGATATTCAAGTGTTAATACAAAATATATTACACAGTTCCCCTTTAATTGACCTAATCGTAACTTTAACATGTACCAAAAAAATATGCAAAAGTTCCAAATTCAAAAGTCCATGAATGAAGGGGCGGGGTAAAAGGATCTCCATTGATATGAGATGTGCAAATGCAAATACAACTGCTCACCTAAACATTAATGACTTACCTTAAGTGATTCCCCTTAAACTGACAGTTTACTGGCCTAATCACAGACTTTAACAATTATTATAAATTAAACAAAAGTTTTGGTCAATAGGTGGGCACAGCCAAATAATCTCCTTTAAAATGAGATGTGCCAATGCTAATACAGCTGCATACCAAATATCACTAACTTACCATTAGTTGTTTCCATTAAACTAACCTAATCACAAACATTAACATATTATTGATGCCAATGCTAATGATACAGCAAAGGGCACCTTCTTCAAGACAAAAACAAAGTTTTATATTCCAGAAACTTATTATTCTAACACTCTCCCTAAATGAAACAATGAAACCAATCAATTAGAAATTGATTAATATATTTCATTTTTACAGAATTACAAAATACAAATAAATTACTAGTAACACCAAAATGAGAAATGATATGAACCTTAAACTTACACACTTACTAAGAGCTTAAACTCTAGATTGATTGATTGATTATTGGTTGCTTAACGTCCAGTGGTTAAGCTCTAGAACACTTAGTCTGAAAATATTTCAATCTATCCTAATAGGTGATAGATTGCTTTAACTTTGTGAAGTTGCCGTTTCAGTTATTCGAGTTACCTTTCTTTATACAGTTTCTTTATAATGTAGGTTTGCGATTTTCTGAAAATCAAACTACGCTTCTCGAAAAAGGGTCATGTGGCCTAGCGGACCAATTTCGTTTGGGATATCAGTGTATTGTCTGCATTGGCGTTCAGAGATTTAAAGAAGAATAGGCAGACATTTTTTGTCAGAGAAAATTCTGGGTTTTGTATTAATATATTTCTATGTAATGTAAGATTGACAATTTCCCAGAATGACTAACCTATTTCTTTGGAATGTTGAACTCTAGCACTATTAACTTTGTCATTGAGATCTTGGACTTCCTCTTGCAGAGCTTCATATTCTAGTTCTTTGGCATGTAGTTCTTCTACTAATGATGCATTGGCTGTTTCCAAACTTAAAAAAATATATAATATTTACAGTAAGACATGATCACAGAAACTTTCTCTGGGTTGTTAATTAGCTGCTTGTTTTGAAATTTGATAAATTATATGTGCAGGGTTTGATAACAATTATTTCTGGTAAACATGCAGGATAAAGGTGTGAGATTAAAAAATCAAAGCACTGTAAGCGCTGTAGGCAGTTAACCAAAAACCAAGGCAAACATAATTATGAAAACTGTGGCTATGTTGCTTCATTTTTTTTAAGATTTAAAAGAACAAACATTAAACATTCATATATTGTGCATTTATGTTCATTTAATGAATTAATTATTAAGGCAAATAATTCATATTTTATCAAGGTTTTCAAAAGCAACGCATATATCAAGTATATTTTTAATGGTCATGTGTCTGCAGTGGTACAAGTTCGAAATGATTGCAGTTGTTCTAGTTGATAGTTAACGTTGGTATTAGTTGACTGTTAGTAGTTCAAGTTGACTTAGTACGAGCTTGTAATAGTATGCATGGACTTGCTTCCCTGGAAAGAAAACTGAGTTTGTGTTCTACAGTGCAAAAGTTATGAGACACAAATCAGACAAATGTTTACTACTACGGGGATCAAAGGTGAGGTCTGACTGACCTGCCCATAGTAAATGTAAATGACCCCCGCCTTCACCCCAAGTCCATGATGTCTAAGTTTGGAATAAAATGACAGGTGATTATAATAAAGTTGGTCAAACACTCTTGGGCTTGAAAGATATGTTTTCTTTAAAATGAGCCATATTAAAATGAAATTTTTTATAGAACCAGAAATTATTCAAAATATAATTAAGGTAAATTCTTTAAACCTGCTCATTTTTTGCATCAATAAAATTTTATAATAAACAAGAAATAATTGTAACAGAATGCTGTTACGAAGTCTCCCAAACAAAGCTGCCATAATTATTCATTCCCATGGTCGCCTGACATTGGGCAAAGTCTAGTACACATTGATTAGGTCTAGTAAAGTGATATGCATATGTGATGCCTATGAGATTGACCTTGTATGTCATTCAAATCTGTTTGAAATGACGAACAGGAATGAATATGGTTTAGGAGTTGGTATCTCAAACTTTTACAAGTTCTTAAAACACACACAAGAGGGGATGGGGTGACCTTAGAGACTAACCCTATGTTTCATTTGATTTTTTATGTTGTCCCATACATGAATATATATATGGTTTAGGGGTGGGGATCTCGTCCGTTATCAAGTTTTCAAACAGGAGGGGGTGGGGTGACCCCAGTGACTTCCCCTATTTTTCATTTGATTTGTTATATTGCCAAATACATGAGTATATATGGTTTAGGGGTGGGGATCTCATCTGTTTCCAAGTTATCAAACAGGAGGGGGTAGGGTGAACCTTAGGACTCTCCCTATATTTCATTTGATAAGTTCTGCTGTCCCATACATGAATATATATGGTTTAATTAAGAGGTCGGGATCTCGACTGTTTCCAAGTTCTCAAACAGGAGGGGTCGGGTGACTGCAGGGACTCCCCTATATTTCATTTGATTTGTTATATAGTCCCATACATGAGTATATATGGTTTCGGGGTGAGGATCTCGACCGTTTCCAAGTTCTCAAACAGGATGGTTTACAGTGACCATAGGAGCTGCCCCTATATTTCATTTGATTTGTTATATTGTCCCATACATGAATATATATGGTTTAGGGTGGGGATCTCGACCGTTTTCAAATTCTCAAACAGGAAGGGGTAGAGTGGCCCCAAGCACTCAACCTATATTTCATATGATTTGTTATATTGTCCCATACATCAATATATATGGTTAAGGGGTGGATCTCGACCGTTTCCAAGTTCTCAAACAGGAGGGGTGGGGTGACCCCCAAGGACTCCCCCTATATTTCATTTCATTTGTTATATTGTCACATACATGAATATGTATGGTTTATGGGATCATTATTTTTTTGTATGCTCCAATGAACAAATTATGTCTTTAAGAGAAAGATATATACCTACATATTACACACAAAATCCTTCCCAATTGAAACTTACTGGTCTATTATCACACTGTAACGTGCCACTGCTAACAAAAGTGTGCATGTTTCTAAGACATATTGAAAAAATATTTTCATAATACAAAGCATGTTACAATAACTTCATATCCACGTTGCAATTAAGAATTTTGCAAACAAATCAACCAACTATGGTTTATTTCAATTTTATTGTATGATATCACTTATTTATTTGTTGTGTGTCTTGCTTGTAAATGTATAAGTATATATGTAATTGTTAATGTATAATTGTTATCCTCTTGTAGCACCATACGTGTGCTTAAGTTTAAATAAATTGTCTTGTCTTGTCTTGTCTTGGGATCTTGACCGTTTCCAAATTCTCAAACAGGAGGGGTGGGGTGACCGCAGGGACTCCCTCTATATTTCATTTGATTTATTATATTGTCCCATACATGAATATATTTGGTTATGGGGTGGGGATCTCGACCATTTCAAAGTTCCAAAACAGGAGGGTTGGGGTGACCCCAGGGACTCCCCTGTATTTCATTTGATTAGTTATATTGTCCCATACATGAATATATATGGTTTAGGGGTGGGGATCTCGACTGTTTCCAAGTTCTCAAACAGGAGGGGGGGAGTAACCCTAGGGACTTCCCCCTATATTTCATTTGATTAGTTATATAGTCCCATACATGAATATATATCATGTATATGGTTTAGGGGTGGGGATCTCATCCGTTTCAAAGTTATCAAACAGGAGGGGGTAGAGTGACCCAAAGGATTCCACCTATATATCATATGAATTGCTTACATTCAGGTATCATATAATCTAGTTGCACTATTTGCGAAAACAAAGTAAGAAACTTCCAGCTATGTTAACTGACCCTTCAAAATTGAGAAAAAAATTGCAGTAATATGTTTATACTTTAAAAGCATCTTACATGCATTATCAACATTTATCACTGATAAAGAAGATTTATACTGTCACCAGGAACATATATGTTGTTAGATATACTGTTCCCAGCTGTCACATTGTATTGGATTTTGACATTAAAATTTGTCAAAAAGTAATTTTGAGTTTCTGTATCAAATATTTTTTGCTTTTTCTTTCTTTTACATATATCTTTTGGTTTCCATTTCTAGTGTTTATATTTATTTACCATGCATAGATGTATTTTGTCACCTGCCTGAAATTTTATTTGTAGTTGATCTCCAAAACCCGGAATTACCCTTATCCGCTTCCGGAATCGGACCCGATATTGTAATTGTCTACACGGCATCCATTGTTTTTCAATGTTGTTTTTGTCAGTCAGATACGATTTTACTCGAATTTACACATTACTTGTAGGCGATTATCTGCATAAAGCTAGCGGTTGAACAAAATGAACATCGCTGTCATGAATAATAAAGATGAAAATACGTTTTGAGATCGTTTATTTAGAGACTTTGGTAAAAAGGTTTGCAAAGTTATTTTTAATTTTCTTTCAAGTGAAAGGTCCGTCGGGCGTAGCTAGTAACCAAGTCGAGAGTCCGATTGCAAAAGTGGAAGGTCGCGGACCTCGGACCACCGCTAATTTGAACCCCTGCCTCCAAATCGAAAAGATACGAAAATTTCGTCTTCTAATTTGAAATTGCCGCCAACAGCATGAACAGTGGAACTTATTAATAGACTACTGACGTAGTTGTAACACGTATTGACGACAAACAATATTCCTACGACTTTTGCCATTTGGGAAATCTAAACTACTTGTCTTTAAAGATTTTCGGCGATTAAATATTTCATACAATTGTTCTTTGACATCTTTGCCAAAAGCACAGGGGATAATAAACTACATAAGGATTCCTAATGTGCTCTACTTCCTATGTGCAACTTCAAAACTTTTGGGTGGTTCGACGATCATTTAAGGTTTTTTCTGGTCATATTTTTGTAATCCAGAATTAAAAGTATGAAAAAACTATTCAATTAGTTATAAATAACATTATATCCAGCTAGATAATAACAATGGCACGTATTTCAGCATTTATTGGGTAGAACACAAATCTAGGGTGCTCGCATAAGGCAGCTTAACTGCCTAAAAAACTATATATAAGGCCATTACAGATGTATGGATTACTCTATACCAAAATTTAAATAACTGGGAAAAGATTTTAATTTTTTTATGAATTCAACGCACAACTTGAGTTCTGTGTTTTATGTGGAGATAGAGAAAATTACATTTCACATACTGAGAGCAATGCGTAAAATTATTTCAAATTGTTTTTAAATGTTCTTTGTGGTTTAATTTGTTATCTCACATACAAATAAATATCTATATTCTTTTCATATATTACATTTAAGGTTAAAATGTTTTCCCGAATAGTTTCACATCTCTAATAAATCAATAAAAGAACAGAGTTCCAATGTCCCCTGTGTTGCACATATTTTATATGTTCTGTCCAAGGGCAATAACTAAAATAAAATTTTAAATTATCTTTAGAGAGTTGAAGACTTGAGAGCTATTTCTGATATATTTAATATTTCTAAGGGAAACTCATTAAAAAAATTTTATCGGCACTTATTTTTGAAATTGTCCAAGACATTGCTGTTATGTACCTTTGATATGAATTTGATAAAAATCTGGCAAAAATTATATATGTGAGAGCACTTACAATGCAAATTTCCATATAATTTATATTTCTAAGGGACATAATTCTTTTAAAAATGGTTGATCTGCACTGATTTTCAAACTTGTCAGACATTGCTGATATAAACCTACAATATTTATAGTTTCATAAAAAGCTGGCAAGAATTGTACACATGAGAGCGCTAACAAAGCAATTTTCCATATAATCAATGTTTCAAAGGGGCATAACTCTTTTAAAAAATAGTTGATCGGCACTGATTTTCGAACTCCTCCGAGACATTGCTGATATACACCTACAATAAAAGTTTCATAAAAATCTGGCAAAAATTGTACACATGAGAGAGCTTACGATGCAATTTTCCATATAATTAATGTTTCAAAGGGACATAAAGCTTTTAAAAATAGTTGATCAGCACTGTTTTTCGATCTTGTCCGAAACATTGCAGATATAAATCTATGATATAAGTTTTTTTATAAAAATCTGGCAAGAAATGTACATGTGAGAGCGCTAACAAGACCGGACGGACGGATGGACAGATGGATGGACCCCCGGTATTTCTATGTCCCCCACAACGCCTGGACAAAGAGGCGGACAAAGATTGACAGAACAGGTTAGCAGAACTTGTTACCTTTTAATATTGTTTTCTGTCATACTCTCCATAGTAATGGAGGTATTATCATCAAAACTAGCATCTGATGACCTGCCACCAGGTGAGGTCTCCTCTGGGGAATCAAAACAAGGCTGTAAGGACAAAGGGGGTGGTTTCTGACCTTTGACCTTGGGTTCATTCCATGCCATTTCTTCATCACTGTCCTTCTGTCCAGAATAGTCCGCTTGCTGTAAATGATCTGCTTGTCGAAGCTGTGATTCATAGTATGTTGCCATAGAAACAGAAGAAATCCCTTTACGCATTTCCCATTCATGTAATTTTCTGGCAAAGTCAGTAGTCACTTTGTATTCAGCAAGGGGAGCTAAAATTGGGCTTTTGACTTTTGAATCCATATCTGGTTGACTCAAACGACCTTTCATTTTTTCTATTCTTGCCTCCCTTTCTAAAGCTCTCAATCTTTCTTTTTCAATCTTCATTTTTTCTTTTTCTAATTTTTGTTGTTCTATTTCCACACGTCGCATTTCTCTTCCTCTCATTTTGCCAAGTTTTTCTCTGTCTTTCTCAACTTTGGACTTTCTGGATTTTTGTCGATCTTCTTTTTTTATCAGTCTTCCGCCACTATCTTTGCGATCAAGTGTTGGGCTAGTACCATCCTTCTTATACTTCCGCCTTTCCCATTCTTCCATTTTTCGGGAAAAACTATCTGTCAACTTTTTTTGCATGTCATCTACATTGATTGATTGTAATGAGATCTCAAGTGGAGTAGAGGTCCCATCAGGTGACACATCACGTGATCCTGGGAGATCAGTTTCTGATTTTTCCTCTAAAAACAATTTCTTGGATGAGGTGGCTACAAAGCAAAGATATTAGGATTTAAAATACTACATGACTGGTTATAAAATTGACTTTTACCATTATGAATATAAATTAGGCAGTTTTAATCAATAATGATTACCAAGTATTGCTTGATTATAATACTTCACATAGTATCATACAGAGTCTTACATAACATGAGTACTGCAAATTGAATTTGTAACAGAATCAACCAAAGCAAACATTAATTCAAAGACCATTTATCTTCTTTCTTAATCTGCCTTCAAGCTAATCAGCAATTTCCCATACTCCAAAGAGGAAAGCTGTCATTTCAGAACAATACAATTATGACAACTTAATAAACTTTCTAAATATGCTATGATAAATCAAACCAGTATTTTACTGTAAATGAAAGGAAACATTTATATCTTATTTTCTGAAATGTCATTGATCCATAATGAGTGGTCCCCCTAATTAAACTGACCTAATCACAAACTTTAACAAATTGTTGATGCCACCAGAAACAGCAAACCTAAGTCTCCCTTTTTGACTCTGTCAAGGTGAGAGAAGAATTTGCTGAAAAGGTCTTGACACATCAGATAGGTATACAAGCACAAACAGACCTTACAAAAGGACGAAAGTTTGTATTTGAAAGAGCACTCATGGAATGTGGTAATATTCTCATCTAACTGCATTTACATAAATATCAGAAAATATCATTTAGTTATCCAAATAATTATGTCACATTCAATAACCTACATGAATAAGTATGCATTTTACATTGTACATTTCATACATATTTACATTTAATGCTTTTGGATCTTTCCCAATCATCCATCTTCTTTTGAAATTCGGGAGAAACGGGTCCAAAACTATCAGATGAAAACACTCCATCACTAACATCACTGGAATCTGCTGAAAAAAAGTTTTTACAATGTTTTATTTTTGTTTTACAAAATAATGAATGAGCATAAATATCTTTGGAGGCCACAAGGAGCCTATATCTCTTAGCTTTTTTGTATAAAAGCCAAAATGTATTCTTCATTCTGACATAATTTTCTGCACCAAAACCGATATGGTCCGGTAACCGTAATTTAGACACATCATTCAATCATACATTTTCTATGTTCAGTGGACCGTGAAATTGGGGTCAAAACTCTAATTTGGCTTTAAAATTAGAAAGATCATATCATAGGGACCATGTGTACTATGTTTCAAGTTTCAAGTTGTTTGGACTTCAATTTCATCAAAAACAACTTGACCAAAAACTTTAACCTGAAGTGGGACAGACGGACGAACGGATGGATGAACAAAAGGATGGACGGACGCACAGACCAAAAAACCTAATGCCCCTCTACTATCGCAGGTGGGGCATAAAAAAATTCCATACAATTCAATGGAGACGTATTTGGCACCAATTTGCATTATACTAAATGCCTGCATGAATAATACTTGCCCAAACAATATTCCCTATATAACTTTAAAGCCTTGGAGGTGCACAATTGCATTATATGATTATGATTGTGAGAATGTTTCAATAAATTGTAATAAGGGAGGTTAAAAGAAGTTGCTGATACCAAATGAGTACATTTTTTTTTGTACCTTCAAATAAAGCAATGTCCATGATTTGCTAAGGAAAACCCCAAATCATTCTGATCATAAAACAAAATAGCAGATGCAAAGCACATCCTGTGAGTAAGATTCTGTGAATTTTTCACACAATCCTGTCAAGAGGTTCAGGGGCAGTTGTGAATACAAAAGTGGTACAAAAGGACAAAGGAATGGATTGTCACTGTCCAATTATTATATACTGCCAGCTCCAGAAAATTGGGGGTATAATAAAAGCAAATTAATACTCAGTATGCATCGAAACTACCTATTTTCTGCTTTTTCAAACTTTTTATCAGATCCTTATTTTTTCAGTTGGTTATAGAGGCATGAAAGCTTTTTTTTCTCAAAAACTTCTTCAATAATAAAAATTTGTTGGGTTGCTGTCTGACTGAATTTTATCTCATACCTCCTTTTTATAAATATATTGGTTGTATCTATGTGTTAAACTGTTATAAAATATGGTGCTTTTATGTATAAATTAATCCTGCAAGAAATCAAATTCTAATTTACTCAATCCTGCTAAATTAACATGTATATTTCTCCCATGCTAAGGGGGAATGAAAATTTCATAGGTGAGTTTCTCTCCCATTAAAATTCACTTAATAATTGGTGTTATAATGAAGTACAGGAATCATGACGATCAGGTGTAATATTTTTGCATAAATGGGATATGAATCAGCAGCCAAAATGGGCTATACTTTGGAGCTACTCAAGTTTGTCCCTAAAATGGACTAATGTGCTAAAATGTTGGTTGCTCTACATTGGTATATTGGTTTGAATTTTCAAGCCTTGTTCTTTCTCCTATGTTCTGGATCATCTTATTCATCTCATCATTTCATAAACACATTTTAGCCAATAAAACATTTACTAGTAAACTTAAATAAGCTTAAATTCTATTTTTAATTTTGTACCTTTCAACACTGCTGAAGGTGATCGTTTAGTCTTTAACTCTTCCCATTGTTGCATTTTCTTTGAAAATTCATCAGACATGCCACCTAAATCAAGATGAATGGAAATTAAATAACATGGTTTTTAATGACTTTTTTTTTAATACAAATGCATTTGATGGACAAGTTAGTAAAGAAGCATGGTTAAAAGAATTATTTCCCCCAAATGATTGAAATATTGATCAATTCCTATCCTAATCTAGTTAATAGCGCTGCTTTCATCAGTTAATCGTTACCAAAATAATTTTTTCTATAAGATTTCAATTCATCCTTAAGTGGAGAAATTTATCTGTGTTGTCACTAACATAATAATGGCGAACTTGGGGGAAATAAAATTTTATTTCGGGAAAATTGAATTAAGAGATGGTATCTACCGTAAGTAACTAGGAAAAGGTTCTAGATGAAAAGGTTGCAAAGTACAATATGTTTTCTTAACTTCTGCTTTCAGTTAAGGTTTCGAGTATATATAAATTGTTTTCTATAGTCAAAACTTGAAAAAAAATTCTATAATTTGTACATGTTAGATGATGTAAATACTATATCAGTGTATCGAGTATGATACAATATTTTGCCACTTAAAACAGCTGAATTTTAATCTCAAAACAAAAGGCTTGCTGTGCATTTAAATTATTCAAAGTTTGGAGAAATATCATATCAAATACGATGGTGGAATCTGTTTCTCTAATGATTTTTAAGGCAATTTGTAAAACTTTAATATTTCTTTTCAATGACCTGCAAAAATAAGTATTCTTTCTGCAAGATATGGCAAGGCATGGCCACCTTTTTCATCACAAGATGAGTAACAATAGGGGGAGGGGGGAACCTTATAAATAACACATGCTGTAATTGAAATTTGACCAATGAAAGCACTGAGTACAACCATACAAACATGTTGATTTTGAACAAAGAAAAAAATGATCAACAAATATGGGAACAATATACTGGCATTTTTCTATCTATAGTTTACAATTTGAAAATATATAGTTTCTAAAGAAAAGACAAAAAACAATGTACATTTCCAGCGAAAAAAACTGGAGGGCAGATGAATTTTGCACCAGATAAGATTGAATGTTTGGTAAGCATAAAATATATCATTCATATGGAAAAAATCATATTCAATTAATCATGGCATCAATCTATGTTTTATTAATAGAATCCTATAAAGATCCTTTTGAGATAACTTAAACTTTTTAATTCTATGGAAACAGTCATTTCCAAAGCTTAAAAGCAAATACTTAATAACACCTGATCAAGTAACAAATGCTAATCTTTCATTCTAAATACACTAGACATTATAAGCCATAGGATGAATATGTGAGTTGAAGGGACCAAACTCACTCCTTGACAATTGACATTTCAAAACTAATTTCACTTTAAAGAACAGTAAAAAATCATCACTGCACCTCAATTGTGCATTTCTAGTTTGTGATATGGACAACAGATATATAATCATCTTAGGATGTATCTGCATCCAATCTACAATGCCATTTAGAATGTGAATTGCCAATATATGTTCAATGCAGAATATCATCATCACGTTAAGTACTTTGAATCATATTGACATACAAAACAGTTATTACTTGAAGCCCACACATCTTTGCACTTTTTACTTTTTTACTGAATTATAAGTCTGATGAGCTTCATCAAAAAACAGAATTGATGAAAACAACGTTAATCTAGTTTACTGCCACAGACTATTATATTCTATTTACAGTTATATTAAAATGGCAAGGTCAAGAGGTTCATAAATACTGGTTTTTGGTCTACTTCAGAGATATACAAATTATCCAAGAGTGTACATGGCCCATTGGGCCAAAATCAGGAAAGCAGAACTTAACTTTAAAAGGCATGAATTTTTCTTTTTCACTTTTAGCCACTTTTCTAATGCCACAAGCACAATTCAAGTCAATTCCTTTTCTGTAGAGCAATGCATTTTACAAATTTGGCTGATAAAGAAAATGGAGTTATTCCATTTTCATTAATAATTTCTGTTCTAAATAATATCTTGTTTATTCTCCAAACTACTCGATTTAACACTCTATATCTGTTGTAACAAACTGCACAATATTACGTAGTACACCCAACATTCTGTACAGAATTTGGCACCTAGCTCTCACCACAAAAAGATTAACTATTAAGTCACGATTATACATACAAGAAACATTATTTTCTCTTTTTCTCTGTATTTTACATCATAATTTGCACATATGATATATTTTTGCATAAGTATGATTCATTTTGTGTCACACAATTTCTGTCTTACAATAATCACATAATATAGAACATCCATTAATATAAAATATAAAAGATAAACTGCATGTAATACAAATTTTCTATTTTCATACAACTGCAACAAACCTTGGAATATTCATAAGGGTTTTTCTTACATCAATATGCATCACTGATTACCATAGTAAATGAAAACAGGACTACATTAAGAAAAAAAAAAGACTTTTCATGATAAAAGAATGTAAATCTTTGAAGTAATTTGAAAACAACATGCATGTAAAAACTTATACAAATACAGATCCACTTCAATCGTATCCACCTCCTTTCGGTTTCATTTACGTACATATATCTGTAGTTAAAATATCATTCAAATGTGGTGAAAATTACTGTCATATTAAGGATTGGAGATATAAATAACATTCTGAACTAAATCTGCAATCTTATAGTTATAAACTAAATGATTTCCGGGAAACAATCTCTATCTCAAAGTTAAGTTACCTTCTTCTATACAGTTTCAAAAACATTTAGACAAGCACTTGATTTCATAGGGGAAAATAAACATTAAAATTAAACAAGTCAGAATTTTAAAGAACTTCCTCCATTATCTATGATTTCATATTTTTGGTAAACAACAATCAATCTATCTTTTGTAATTTTAAAAGCTGTCTCCCATTTCTAGAACTTGCAGGAGTTGTCTCTCTTACCAGAGGAGGTATTTCAATATATATATTAATATTAATAAAAATCACATGAACAAAATTCTGTTGTATTTAAAACAAATGAAACTTCAAAGTATCAATCCACTTCTAAAAAGTAAAAAGAAATATTGATAAAAAAGAAAAAAGAAAAGTAAAAAATTCCTCAACTACATGCTCGAAAGGGAAGATACTCTTCATACAGAATGTGAATATTACTAAAAAAAAATAAAATATGCTTTTTTTATCAATATCTCGATACTAACATCTATATTAAAATAAACATTTAAGACACTATTTTTTTGAAGCATTCATAGTTTTAAATTGGACAATTTAATATTCTTCAATACATTTAAACATGTTTTTTCTTCAATTTCTAACACAATAAGTCTTTATATGAAAAAGTATTTAAAAAAGCACCTACCATTACTATCATTACTTTTTTTGGCTCGACATCCACAAGGGGGCCAACAAAAGGTACCTAGAAATCCTTGCATTTTGATAACTTTCAAAAGAAAGGCACAAATTCTTCAAATCTTTACAATTCTAATACAAGAAAAATCCTTTTCCATAATTTTTTATGCCTCTAGCAAATAAAATGTATCTGTTTGAAGTCCATGGACCAATCACATTAACCAATCAATATAGAATTTACATTACGAAACTGTAAATCGTAGAATAATTACTACAACTTTATGAAGACGGATAAAACCTTCCATATGATATTTGTCCCTCTTTAATCAATATGTGATTGCTAATTTATTTCAAATCCGACAAAAAAAACTGCTTTATGGCCCAAACAATTATTGTTGCTGATCGTATTTCTTCCATTCTGAGCTAAATAATTTCCATATCAAACGATTCCAGAAAAACCAATTACTCAAGAGAAGAGTTTTATGACAAGTCTTTTGCAGTTGCTTTTAGCTTTAAGAAGAAAGCTAAAAACAGAAATATCTAAAGGTTATTCCTATAAATGGATTTATAAAGCAACTTTTGGGGAATTGCAGTTATAAACTTGTAATACAATTGCTCAATTCAATCATATTGATATATTTCAATAAATGTACCTTTGAGTTATGACAAATGAACTTTTAATGTAAAACTGAACTCTGCCGTGAGTTCATGGTGACCATAATATGTAATGAAGTAGAAACATGTGATGATGTCGTACCACAAGAAGGGGCACACAGAAATTGATGATGTCGTACCACAAGAAGGGGAACGCAGAAATTGATCATGTACCACAAGAAGGGGAACACAGAAATTGATCATGACAACATTATTTGATACTGGTACATGAAAGTCGGTGATGTTTTGGTCAGTCTACATTTAACAAACTGCAATCAGACATTGCATCTTACTTGAAGGTCGAACTGATTACTTTCTAAACAGACCTTATTACAAACATTTATAGTGAATCTCTGAGCAATGAAAATGAGGTCAATGATAATGAACCCAAGTCAAACAAATATGAATGCAATGCAGGACAGTTGACTTTCCTAATTTCATCCAGTATATACATGAAATATTTGCAACTGCACATTCAGAAAAAAACAGTCAATAAATCAATCATCTTCAGGAAATAATATTATAATGTTCCTGATAATGAAGGAACATAACTCTTTAAATATAAATGTAAAAATAATCAAGTGTGCATGAATTTCATAGTCTATATGACATTGGTGTAAATATTTTAAAAGATTTGATCATGATGTGTTTAATTATAATAATAAAATGAACCAGAAAACCAAAATAATATTCCAGAAATATAATGTCATACATAACTTGGTGACTTCTTTACAACATTCTACCATATATAGACAACCTCAAAACTAACTTCAATTGATGTGTTATTTCTTGGAATAAGAGATAATGGTATTTGTAATTCAGTTAACACTCAAATCTATTTCCGAACCTCCCCTCATTGGTAAATAAATACAATATGCATTTTTTTTTATCTCTATGAACAATTCATTAACAATTGTGTGTTGAAAAAACAAATTTCACATTGCATAGTCAAACATGACTGATGCTATGTGCACATGGAAGAAGACACGAAACATTCTTTCCTTTTTTTACATGACAAACAAGCTGTACCAGGAATTGTCTCCCCTTACAAGTGTT